GAGAGAGAGAGAGAGAGAGAGAGAGGCGAAAGAGAAAGAAGAGGCAGCGCCCCCAACAGCCAAGTGAGGGAGGCAACCAAGGGGCCCCTGCGCTGGCCCGCTGGCGCGTCGCCCGTTGACCAGCGCCCGATGTGGTGCCAGTTGGCGCAAGCCCGCCTCCGCCACGGGCTCCCCCCCCCCACCCCCGCCCCCGATCACCGCTCAGCCTGGCCCACGGTTCTTGTTGGTGGCCCACCCACGAGGGCTGGACCCAACGAGGGCGGCGCTGCCAGGCCAGGCTAGGGTGGGGGTGGTCCATGCTCGGATGCTTCTCAGCGCTCGCCAACCCACCTCCAACCAGCCACCAGCCATCACCTACCCATCGTTGCTGGCCATTTCGCCCCGCCTGCTACGCTTCACTCTGCCCTCTTGTGTCCTCCTCTGCCCTCCTCTGCCCTCTTCTGCCCTCCTCTCCCCGCTTCTGCTCTACTCCAACGACGATCACCGCGAGCAACGCCCCTCAAGCCCACCTCTGCCTCTGTACCGCACCAGCATGGCTTCCACCTCTGAGCCAACCGACCACCACCACCACCACCACCAAGACCAACAACAGCTCCTCCGCGACCTCGTCCTCGACCATGCAAAGCTCAACGCAGCCACCTCGTCGGACCAGGGTGACGTATTCCTCCTCCAGTGGCTCTCCAGGGCGGAGCGCGCAATCAACTCCCTAGACCCAGACAACCTCCAGCAATCCCGCCCAGCCCTCGAATCCGACCTCCTCAAGCTCGCACACTGCCCGCCGAGCACCACCGATGCAGGCCCACCCGCAAACGTTGCCAACGCCGCCACTACCACCAACAACTCCGGCGTACCCAAACCCGGCAGGGCCACACGTCAGCTGCTCGCGAGATGCTTCGTCGCACTCTACTCGCGCGTCGACTCCCGCTCCTTCTTCGACACCATGCAGGCCATCATCCAGCTCGCTGCAGACCAGCCAAAGGGAAAGACCGTCGAGCGCGAAGCTCGCGTATCCGCACTCTTCATCGTCGGCGACGTGTTCGGCGCCCTCGGACAGCAAGTCATGTCCCTCTTTGTCGACCTCACCACCCTCTGCCAGAAGGTCGTCAAGGCCACCGCAAACCCCGTCCTCCTTCGCTACCACGCCCTCGTCGCTCTCAATAAGGCCCTCCTCGTCGGCGGAAAGAGCCTGGGCGATCAGGCGGGCAAGGAAATGCTCAAGCTGCTGCGTCAAGGACTCGCCGACCGAGCCGGCGCCGTCGTGCGCGGCTCCGCTGACTGCCTGCTCTCGCTCGCACGTCAGACGACGCTCATCTCGACCCGCACCGAGATCGAGGCCATCATGACGGCATCCATCAAGGCGCTCGAACAGGCCGACTTCGTCACAAAGCGCTCCGTATCCCGCATGGCGGCAGGGCTGCTCGCATCGACGCAGGCCGAGAACTCGGCACCCCCGCCCCCAGCACCGAAAAAGGCCAAAAAAAGAGGGAGGGGGCCGCCGGGCAGGACTCGGACGATGACGACGATGCGCCCCCGGGGCCTGCCCTGGCGGCCAATGGGCCCGGGCGGACGATGCTGTCGGCGGTGGGCATGCTCGAGCAGCTGTCGATGCCCTTCCTCCGGCCAAGCACCAGCCGCAAGACGCGTGCCGCCATCTTTGACATCTACGCCACCCTGTTCGAAGCCTTGGGCCCGGCCTGGGTGACGGCCAACTACTCCATCGCTCTTGACCACCTGATGGACCACCTGCTCAACCATTCCCGCGGCGCCGTTGCAAATAGCGCAGAGACCCTCAACATCCGCACCGGCGTCAGCCTCATCCTGCGGAAGCTGATCGGCGAACGGATGCTGGGCGAGCAGGCACAGGTGCTGGCCATCCAGGCAATCTGCCAAAAGTACCTGCAGCGGTGGCCGTCGGTCATGCCAGAGCAACAGCCGCCCTCCAAGGAGACGCTCGTACTCGGCCTCAACGAGATTTCTGGACTTCTCGTGCAGCTAGGCAGCTCGCCTCCGCAGGTTCACGACGCCCTCTACGACCCGCTGATGCGTTGCCTCGGCCATCCGAGCCACTCGGTCCAGGTCAGCGCAGCGTGGTGCCTGCGCACCCTCTGCGACATCGCTCCCGGGCTTCTGTCCCCGACCATCTCGGCCGTACTCGAGCTGCTCAACCGAGACCTCACCACGCTAGCCAACGGTGGCGGCCCTGCTGGAGCCGGACAGGTGGCCAAGCGCGCCTCTGGACACAGCAGAGCGCTAGCTTCCCTGATCAACGTCATTCCACGCCGACCGCTCTACACCTCCTTCGCCGTCAGCGCCAAGGTGCTCTCTCTAGCCATCCAGCTGCTCAAGAACAGCGGCAACCACGAGCTCTCGGTGTCGGCCGTCGAGATCGGGGTCGCATGGACGCTGGTCGGGGCGCTCATGTCGCTTGGTCCCAACTTTGTCCGCCTCCATCTGCCGCAGCTCCTCATCTTGTGGCGCAACGCGTTGCCCAAGCCCACGTCGAAGGACACGGCACCTGGTCCTTCTACCCGATCCGATGGCGAGTGGGGCTTCCTCCTTCACGTGCGCGAGTGCACTCTCGGCTCGCTGCTCTCCTTCTTGCTCCACAACGGCTCGACACTCCTCACGCTCGACACGGCGCGGCGAATCGTGGCGCTGCTCAGCAACACGCTAGCCTTCGTCAACGGCTTCTCCGGCCAGCACCCGCATCTGCTGCAGGAACAGAGCCCGGGCGTCGATCGACCTTCGTTGTCTCTGCTCGATCGCGAACATCTGCTGCGCCGAAGGGTGTTCCAGTGTCTGGCGGTGCTCGCCACAAACCCTGCCATGGAGCCGATGCAGGCCGGACTTGTCCCCGTCGCTGTCCAGGCATTTGCCGAACCGGAACGCTACATCGGCAGTGCAGCGCAGGCGGCCATCGCTGCGAGCGCCGGAACCTTTACCGGCATCTGGACTGCCACCGACGGGTATGCGTTCGGCGTGACGAGCCTTCAGAGGGACGCAGAGACGTTCGTATCGGACCCGATCGGCTCGCTCGAGGCGACCAGGGCGCCGGCCAGCGACCACTGGCTCAACCGCGACTCGGTCGAGGTCCTTCTCGACGCCCTGCAGAGGCGGCCTGTCCTTGGAGCGGCCGAGCACGACGTGCTGATGCTCTACGCCGGCGCATCGGGCCCCCCTGGAGAGATCGCCGAGTGCCCGCTCTTCTCTCCTCCACCAGCTACCGGCGTGGTCGATGCGGCCATCGAGCTTTTCGCCGCCCTCTTGCCGTTCCAGGAGCGCGAGGTGCAGGCTTCGGCGCTCGAGACGCTATTGGCCCATAGCCGGAGCTCGAGGCTGGAGCGCAACCCTGGACGGAAACAGGCGATTCACATGAACGCCATCGTCGCTGTGCTGGGCTCGCTCCAGGCCGCAATGCAGGGTGGCACTGGCCCGACGGGCAAGCGACCGTCCGGCTTCAACAATGAGCGGCTCAGCTCGGCGATGCGGGAGCTGATCCAGGACGCCCTGCTGCAGGGCGACCCGGCGCTGAGGTCTGCGGCCAGCGAGGCCTATGGCAAACTAGCGGCTGTGGCCGGGTCCCACGCCATGTCGAGCCAGGTCCAGTTCCTTGTTGATCAGGTGGTCAGCAATCGCGACCCGGATGCCCGCGCTGGCTGCGCCCTCGCCTTTGGCGCCATCTACAAAGAGGTCGGAGGCCTCTCGGCGGGCCCGCTGACCAAGACGGTGGTCAACGTGCTGATGTCGCTTTCCAACGATCCCCATCCTACGGTCCACTATCATGCGCTCGAGGCACTGCAAAGGGTCGTCGACGCCGCCAGCCTCAGCTACAGCCCTTATGTCGCCAGCACGCTAGGCATGCTGGTCAAGCTCTACATGCTCGATACGCACGAGCCAGAGGGCGGTAGCGCCGGCTCTGTCAACCTTAGGGCCGACTTGCCCGCGCATCAGGCCATCTGCCGCGTCATCAACGCCTTGATCGGCGTGCTGGGTCCCGACCTGCAGGAGTCGGCCAAGGTGCGCGGCTTGATCTTCGCGCTGCTCCGCGAGTTTGCCGAGGAGTCGGATACTGGCGTGGTCGTCGAGGCCATCAAGGCCATGCAGCACTTTGGCCTGTTTGCGGCCGAGGAACTCGAGACGGCTACCTGGATCGCGCGGCTTCGCACTCAGCTGCGCAGCAACAAGAGGCCGCTGAAGCTGGCCGCGATCAACGCCTTCTACCAGCTCGTGCAGCGGGAGGCGCTGGCGATGAGCAGGCTTGGGGGAGATCGGCTGGTCGAGGAATTCTTCGCGCAGCTCGACGAGGACCCGCGCATGGATGGAGTGCGCGAGGTCATTACCAGCTGGCTCGGGCAGACGGCCGATTTGGCTCCTGGTGGCTGGATCGACCTGTGTCAGCGGATCATGTCTGTCGGCTCGTCGGCTCGGACCGCATCTGCTTCGATGATCCAGCAGCAGTCGCAGCAGCAGACGACCAACAGCCTCGCTACGGCGTTGCAGGACGAGGAGGCGGCCACCATCGACCTCGGCGGAGACGAGTCGGCCTCTTCCAAGCACAACTCGAGCCGGTGGCGGACGCAGCTCTTCGCCCTGCAGTGCCTGCACGAGGTCTTCGTCACCGTCCGACGATCCGGCCGGCTGGAGCACTTCTCTACGCCACCCGAGGGCAAGGGTAGCCAGCAACGGCTGCTGATGAGCAGCCGGGTGTCCGATCTCATCAAGATGGCCTTCACCGCCAGCACCGCGGCCAACAGCGAGATCCGCCTCGAGGGCCTCGTCGTCCTTCGCGATGTCATTAACAGCTTCAAGACCGCGCAGGACCCTGACTTCCGCGAGGCGCTGCTGCTGGAACAGCACCAGGCTCCCATCGCCGCCGCTCTGACGCCGGCTTTCCTCGCGGATAGCACACCCGAGGTGCTGGCAGCGGCCGTCCAGCTCTGCGCCGTCTTTGTCGGCTCCGGCGTGGTGCGTCAGGTCGATCGCATGGGCAGGATCCTCAAGCAGCTCGTCTCGGCACTCGATAACTGCATGGAGCCCAAGATGGAGAGGCTCGGCGACGTCGAAGACCTCTCGCCCAATGCCAACGCGATGCTCAAGGTGGCCGTCTTCACCGCCTGGGCAGAGCTCCAGGTGGCCAGCGTTCAGCAAGGCTACCTCGTCGAGGTCGTCAAGCCGCACGTGGCCAAGATCGCGCCGTTCTGGATCGCGTGCCTGCGCGAGTACGCCAAGATTCGGTCGGATCCAGATGGCGAGGGCCTCGGCGGTCCTGGTGCGGGTCCGGTGATCAACGCCAGCCTCGACTCTCAGTACGCCGGCCTGGCGCGAGAGGTCATCACGCCATACCACGAGCGCTCCTGGCACAAGATTCTGAACGCCGTCGCCGTGCTGATGAACGCCAACGATCCCTCCATACATCGAGCTATGGATGGTCGCCCCACCACCGGCCCGGACGTCGACGAGACCAAACCACTGTCGAGCTCGCGCAGTGGCAGTGAGCCCGCCCTTTTCTTCTTCGTCCTCTATGGACTGGCATTCGAGGCCTTGTCATCGATTTCTGCCGGCAGCGAGAGCTCACGCGAGGCTGCGGTGATGCGCGTCACACTGCAGGCCATGTCGAGCCTCAGCAAGCCGATCTACGCCGGATCTGCGTTGCTACAGCCGGCCATCTTCGAGGAGCTGTGTAACCTCTCGTACCGCCTGGTGATGACGGAGCCGCCGCTGGTGCAGACCAGCGTGCTCGAGATGCTCGGAGGCATGGCGGCGGGCTACGGCAAGCTGCTGCTCAACGACGGAGACGAACAGGCCGCCGTCTCGCCCGTCTCCAAGGCGCTGCTCAAGGACTCGAAGCTCACCCACTGCCTGCGCGTTGTCGTCTGCGTCCTGCAGAACGCCAAGGCGACGCGCGGCTCGCCGGACGAAAAGGCGACGCTGCTCAGGGTGGCCTACTCGGCCTTCATAGGCATCGTCGGCATCTATCCCTCGGCGCTGCAGGAGGACCTGTTCGCGGTGGGCTTCTACATGTACTCGGAGATGCTGCGGGACGAGACGAGCGAGGTGGACCTGGTCGGGCCGACGCTTCCGAGCCTCAAGGATCTCTGCGAGCGGGCGGCACGGGGCTGCAAGCCGGGCAGCGAGCTGCTGCAGAGGGCGGTGCACGGCTTCCTCTCTGCGGCGCTGCAGAACGTCGACGACATGCGGACGCGCGCCGGCAGGGTGGCCGAGAACAAGACCAAGAACAGCCTGCTGGCCGCCACGGTCGTCGTGACCGCGATCCCGGTCACGGTCAAGATCAGCCAGGCAGTCGCCGAGCACGCGTGCTACCTCATTGTGCAGAAGATTGCCTTCGACGACGATGAAGAGGATGCGGACGAGGCAGGCGACGACGACGGGCACGCCAGGCATGCCACCGGCGGGGCGGGACGTGGGGCTCCGCCGGTCGAGGTGGCCATGACGGCGGTGCAGTGCGCCCGCAGCGTCATCCTCGCCTCGTCGCGCGGCAACCCGGCGCTGCAGTACTGCGTCGGCCAGCTGATGCCTGGCCTCATCGAGTTTGTCGTCACAGACGGGCCCAGAGCCGCTGCTGCAGCTGCCAGGGCCTCGGCGGCCAAGCCGAGATCGACTCTGCGCAGACCGCCTCGCCTCGTGGCGGTCGAGGAGATCGTCAAGGCGTTTGTTGGCATGCTCAACACGCTGCCGGTCGAGCATCGTGAGTCGTCGTCGTCGTCGTCGGCTCCACGAGTCCCCAGTGCGCTCACCGTGGTTTCCTTTGCTGACCATCTTCGAATCTGCTCTCTCTCTCTCTCTCTCTCTCTCTCTCTTTCCCTCGCCGCGCGTAACGACGAGCAGGCTCGCAAGCACTAGGCGTGATCCTGCCGACCCTGCTTGTCCTCCTCGAGCCGAGCGCCTCTGCCGCATCGGCATCAAGCAGCCCGCTGCACGCCTTCACCGTCAACCAGCTCATGACGATTGCGGCGCAGCACCAGCCAAACTTCAAGGAAGCCACGGCGTCGCTCCAACCTGACCGCCGCGCGCTCCTCGAGTCGGCTATCCGCGCCCACCTCGCTGCTGGCGGTGCCGGTGGTGGTGCGCAGGCGGCGACGTCGCAGGCTGGCACCAACGCTTCGAGGTCTGGAGGCTCGGCTAGTATTGCACTCAAGAGTTTTGGAGCGTGATCGGTCGTCTGCAGTGGTCGGTCGGCCGTTGCGAGACGACGGTGATGATATGACGACAGACGAGGGAATGCAAAATGTCGAGGGAATGATCATGATGCCGTCGTCGTGGTCTGCACCCCGTCTGCAGTCGCGTCCGTGACGGCGGCGGCTGCAACGGCGGGACCCTCTTGCTCCTGCTGCAGTTCGGGCTGCTTCGCGTCGTCGCCCTGCTTCTGCTCCTGCTTCTGCGCTGCGGCGTCCTTGTGCTCTTCGTAAGCCTCTGCCTTTTTGGCATTCGCGGCATCCGCGACGCTCTGCACGTTGAGCTTCTTGAAGCGCTCATAGTCCCTGACGACGCCGATGGCGCAGACGTTCTAAGGGGGTCGAGGAGTAGACAAGAGAGGGAGAGGCACGGATGCATCGCTGAGGCGCTGAAGCTTCGCAGCAGGAAGAAGGGAGGACGGGAGGGGCAGGACGAACCTTGTGCACTTCGACGATGATCCACACGTCGGGTTTCTTGAGGTCGGCATAGTGGCCCCCCTCTCGCGGGATCGAGGCGGCGATGATCTGGATCAACGAGTCGCGGGTGAGCGTGTTGTGGGATCGGATGCGCGGGTCGATCTTGAACTGTCGTCGGTCCGGGCAGACATCAAGAGACGGGGGTCGGAGATGGGCGGGACGAGACAATGAGCGGGAAGGTACCAGAGCGTGCGTCAGGTCGAAGCGGAAGGGGATTGAGGACGACGACTTACGGATCGAGCGGGTCCGTCGGGCGGGAAGAAGGTCGGGATCACACGGTTGGCGAGCTGCGTGACCTGCGTCGGGTGCGCGGAGCAGGTGTCCGTCACCGGCGACAGGCGCTGGACGAACCTGCGTGCGTGGTTCGGGGAGACGATGGTGATAGAGGTGAAGACGGAGCGAGACTCGGCATATCAGTGTCGCGTTGAGTGGCGTCCGATCGAGGGACGCGGGCGACGTACCGGCTTCGAGGTTCGCCCGTCCTCTCGACCTCTTCTAGGACGGCGTAGACCATCGTGTACGGGTCGATGGGCCGGGCACAGCTGATAAAGTTGACTGCGAGGCCGTGTCCGCAGAGTCAGGTGAGACGATATGGGGACAAGTCAGCCAATAGATACGCGGCGTGGTAGCGGTGAGCCCGGTACAATGAGATTCAGGGCCGACAAGACACTCACGGCACTCGGTGTCCGTCTCGATCTTCTTGAAGCGCTGCGTGGGCGTGCCGTCGTCCTTGTCCTTGTGCTCCGTCTTGGCCTTCTTGCTCGGCCCGCCCGCAGAGGTGTCTCCGCGCAGCTCGGCCAGCTCGGCCTGGATCTGCGCCTCGATGTCGTCGACGACCGGCGCCTCCTTTGCCGGTCCCGCCGTGGCCGTCGCTGGCTCCTCTTCGCGCACCGCAGTCGGCGCGGCATCTTCGGTGCTCTCCTCTTTGGCTGCCTCCTCGTTTGCAGCAGTCGCGGTCGCGGGACCATTGCGCATGGCGTCCATCAGATCCTCCTCCTCGCCGTCCACAGCCTCCTTCGCCACCTCGTGCTTCAAAGGCGGAAGCAGCTTGACGCCCGGGTAGAGCCGGTCGGCAATCTCGTTGAGGTGGTCGATGAACTGCAGCGCCGCCTTGCGCTCCTTGCCCTGAACGCAGGTGACGAATATCCCTGGTCCCGAGATGAGCTTCGAGGGGAGGCGGTAGACCTGGTTGTAGCCCTGCCGCCTGCCCCCGCCGCCGTTGGAAGGGCCGGAAGATTGGCCCTGTCTGTCTCGCTCCGCAAAGGAGAGGCCCGGTCCGGCGCGCTTGCGCTTGCTCGATGGCATCGTCGGTGAAGTGTATGTGAGGTGAGAGACGGGTGGTGGTGGAGCGAAGGGCGGGGGACGGTCCCTTTCCCCAGCCCTCCTTCGGAGGCCCTGCCCAAAATTCCAAGACGGCAGGCAATTCGGAAGTCGGAGCCAGAGTCGCGCTCAGGGACAACCATCCAGGCGCTTGACTTCATGATCTGGTCCCACGGCGAAGATCAAGATCAAGGATGATTTGGGCCCCTCTCGCTAAGGCGGGGAGATGTTGGAAGAGTGAGAGTTTGCGAAACTGGCTGGGCATCAGGAAGTATAGAAGAGAGCGAGGAAATCGACCGAATCGCAAAACGCGACGATCGACGATGAGGGAAACGAGGTACGAGGACGAGGTATAGAGAGGGACGAGGTACAGTAATACAGCGAGGGCAGGGTCAAGAATCTTGGGGCTGGGCACCCATGATCGTGGGGCAGCAGAGCAGAGCGAAAGGCAGGTGCAGGATACAGTGGTACGGGGATGCGGAGCGAGTCGAGGCGCGGCGGGCAAGGACAGTGGCTGGTCGGCGGTGGTGTCGGGACATTGCGCCCAAGCTCAGCAGGGCGGCACGACAGAGGCAGCGAGCGTGTGTGTGAGTTGCTTGGCTCAAACAACGGGGCAAGAGGAGCGGATGGTGCCTGCCATCATCGCTCTAGAAAAGGTCGGTTGGACGGCGTGGGTCAGAGGGCGAAGCCGACGCTCCACTCGCCCTCATCCTCATCGTGGACGACGTCGGGCTGGTAGGCATCTGCTGGTGTCGGGGCCTTCGCGATGGCACCAAAGTCCAGACCCAGCCCCATGCCTCCCGGGGCGGTCGGGACGTTCTCCGCAACAGCGCTGTACGCCTTCATCTCGCCCTCGTACGCCAGCGATCCCGCCGTCGTCTGGCCGAAGGGCGTGCGCGGAGGCGTCAGCGGCGTGCGCACTGCGCTTGCGGAAAAGTCGAGCGGGGAGGTAGAGGGGTAGTGGATCGAGTCGGCGTCGTAGGCATCCGAGGTGACTGAGCGACGCCACTGCGAGACGTTGCGCGCCTGCGACTTTGGCGGCTTGGGGGGCGAAGCCTTCTTGCGGTTCGCCATGTCGATGGCGGCCGACGAAGGCGGTAGGATGCAGCTGAGGCGGCCCAGACCGAGTTCCTGGGCCAGATCGCTCAGGTCCATGTCGAGGTCCAGGCGCTTGCCCTCGCCGTCGGGGCTGGCACCGGCCTGGGACGCCGCCTGCGCGAACGCGCTCATCTGGCGGCAGGAAGCGAGCGTCGGCGTCTCGCAGTCGTCTGACTCGTCGCAGGGGGACTTGCGACCGGCCTGGAAGTGGAAAGGGGTGCGAAGCTGCTTGGCCGCCTGCGAGGCGGGCGCTGCGGCATCGTTGTCGGACTCGGCCTCGTCGTCGGCGGTGCCGGCAGTCATCAGGGATTGCATCGACGCCGTGCTGCTGATGACAATCTGAGGCAGCTCGGGCACGTGGCCAGCTTTGAGGGCCGCGATGTGGGTCGCCTCCGGGCTCTCGGACTCGAGGCTCGAGAGCGAGGTAAACGAGCCGCCGCTAACGAGCGACGAGCTCGAAAGGCTATCCGAGAACCCAAAGGCTCCCGAGGTGCTGCTGCCGCTGCTGCTGAGGTCGCTCGCGACGCTGTACCTTCGCTCGCGGCCCATCGTCGTCGAGGTTGTGACGGTATCGGCCACGTCCTTGCTGTCGACGGTGGCGCTGTCGATGCCACCGTAGGCGCATGAGAAGCGGCCTTCGTACACGCTGCGCGGAGAGTAGACGCTGACCGGGCTGCCGACACTCCCTTGGTCAGGAGCGGCAGGCTCTCCAGACGCAATGGGAGCTTGCACGACCTTGACGGGTGCCCTGGCGGCTTCAACGGCTTCCATGGCACGCCGGTCGGTCTCTTCGGCGGTTGCAGAGGCGCTCACGCCATCAAGCTCCGGCTCTGGCGTGGGCGGCATGATGTTGACCACGGGCAGCGGCAGGACCATTCGAGGGCTCCGCGGCATCAGCGATGGGCTGGCGACCGCGACGGCCCGAGCCCTCTGGTTGCTGAGATTGACCCGCCTCGCCTGGTGGGTTTCTCCGGCCGCAGTATCGGCGCCGACGGGAGTCGAAGGCTTTGATCGCCTCGCTGGGCTCACGGGCGTTCGTCGGGGCGGCCTGACCGCAGCAACCGTCGTGGGTTTCGCAGAACCGGCAACGACGCGCGCAGGCCGCTGCCTCATGGGCGCCGGCTGCTGGAAGTGGCAGGGAAAGATCGGCGTTTCAGCCGCCGGCTCTTCCATCTCCGCCTCGTCGATGGCAGTCGAAGCGAGGCCGAAGCTGGCTAGCGAAGGCGGCGCCCTCGTTTCCACGCTGCGACTCCTTCGTCGATTGGTCCGGACGCCGAGGGTCGCCTCCACCACTCGCTGTGACGGAAGGGCGGGCTCCTCACGACCGTGGTTTTCGATGAGCAACCCGTCGACGACATGCTTTGCAATCGACGTCCGCCTTGCGTGGCCGGCTCCGGGTTGTCTGCGGACGGTGCCGGCGGTGGGCAGCGGCGGCGCACGCGAAGTAAGCTCGCGGCGCACCTCGGCCTCGCTCTTGAGAATGATGGTCGATTTACGGTCGCGTCCAGGCACGCCGCGACCGACGCTCGACACGCTGCGACCAGCGACCTGGCTGGCACGCGAAGGCGACGAAGGCGACATGATGTCCTGCTCCGGGCTGCAGAGCCCCCAACGGTTGAAGAGGTCCGGCATCATCGGCGAGGAGGTGGAGATGTTGACCGTGAGCGGCGGAAGAGGTGGGATCGGCTCGCGAGTGAAGCCTGTCTGCACCCTGCCGCTGTAGACTGACTGCCTTGCGGTAGTGGCTGAAGCTGCTGCTGCCCTGACCTCGCGAATGGGCCTGGCCATTTCCTGCTGGAGGGAGCCCAGGGATCCGTACTCGCGTGGTAGGGCGGTCTGCTGGCGCTCGGGGCTGCAGGGCAGCGAGTAGCTGTTGTGCTCCTCGTCAAATGCATCGTGTGCCGACATCAATGGGGCATGTTGGCGGAGGTCGAAGTAAGTGGTGGTCGGGGGCGCGCTCTGCGGCACGTCCGAATCGAAAAGGTCGGACGACGATCGGCAGTCGGCGAGCGAAGGGTGAATGTGCTTGTCCTTCTTCTTCCAGGTGAAGAATCTCGCCAGCGAGGACGAACCGCCGCCGCTGCCGCCACTCGACTTGTTGTTGCTCCTGGTCGACTTGCTCGCGCGCGTAGGGGACTCCAGGTCCAACCTGCTAGGTCTACCACGAGGAGACGTTCCGACAGTGGCGGGACCGAAGCGGAAGTCGCGTTCGCGGTCGTCTTCGAAGACGGAGGTGTCTGATGCGCTCCGGTCCATCCGGCCGTCGTACGGCGTGGAAGACGCGCTGATTTCGTCCATCGTCGTGGTAAAGGCCTCGAGCTCGGGCGTGGGGCTTCCCTCTGCTCCCACTGCTTCCGATCTGCCGGTCGCACCCGACGACGAACCATAATGATCCTCGTTAAAGGAGCCCGCTGTTTTGTAGGCGACCGTGGGGACCTCGTGCCACTCGAGACCGACGTCGATGCCCATGGCGTGCCTCGGGTCAAGCATGGCGAGGCTAGCCTTGGAGACGGCATTGACCTTGATCGACTTCCTTGCGTACGAGTCCGAAGACGACGACTTGGTAGGCTTGGACGGCTTGGGCTTTGCGCCTCGCACCGGCGAGCTGCGCAAGTCCTCGTGTCCCGCGGCGGGGTATCGCTGAGCCAGCATGGTGGCAGCCGGTTAGAGGCGGTGTAGATTTCGAAGGATCGGTAAAAGTGGTGAGGGAAAGGGCAGCTCTGTCGTTTGGAGCCAGCCCCTGCCGGTATCACCGAGATAGGACGTCGGACAGTGTGGGAGAGAGTGTCGTAGTGGAGAGCAAGAGGTCGGTGGGATGATTGCAGCCGTAGATGACGGGAAAGAGCAGAAGAGCGAAGGTAGGGAAGTCGCGAGAGCAGACTGGGGAGGTGGCGATGGTGGAGGGAGATGGAGAGGGATGATGGTGTCAAAGAACGGTGGAGCAGACGAGGAGAACGAAGGGGCCTTGCACAGCGGGATGAGGTCGAGGCACGGAGTAGGGCGTCCCCGAAGGGAGCGGGGCAAAGAAGCGTCGCGACGGGCAGAGGGCAGGGGCAAGACGAAGCTCTGCCCTCACTCGTCAGCTCCCAAAACCGGGCAGGTGTGCGTGTGAGCAACCGCAGGATGGCGGACAGCAAGGCCGCCGGCGAAGGCCGCACCGTGCCACCCGTACGTCGTGGCCGCACTGCTGCACGCCTGCCATCGCTGGCGGCGACATTCTTGCCCGCGCGGCTGTCTGTCCGCGGCGGTCCGCGACGATATCGAACGCGCCACCGACTGCAGGATGCGAACCTGCCAAAATCGAGCGAGAACTAAGAATGTCAAGAGGGGAGGGCGGAGCGAGACCGGACCCTGGTGGAGCCAAGGCCACTTGCCCACAGGTAGCCGGTCGAACGATCTTGTAGGAATGCAGGTCGCGGTAGGCGGTCAGTTGCCAAAGCGGCGTGAGGCCGGGACGCGAGAGAGGGTGTTCGGAGCAACGGACCCACCGGTACCTTGGCCGCGTGCCTCTGCGTCTTTGTCTGCTTCGGTGACGAGCTGCGTAGTACCCGATTTGTTTGCAAGTCCATGCGAGCCCGGACTGGCAGGCGCGGCAGGCTGGACAGCCAGACGAGGGAGCAGGCCAGCGGGGCTGAACTGGTGCAAGGGGGAGGGGACAAGGTTCGCCTCGACTGTCGAACAGAAGCGTACGTGATGGTCTCGCGCGGAGCAGCGTCGTCGGCGACGCCCGACTTGGGCTGCTGCTGCCTTGCGCTCACCGCCTGCTGCTCAGCCTGTCCGGCAGCCCAGCCGTCTGATGGCACCCCGAGGCGAACGCGCGCCTGCGCGACAAGCCTCGGACAGCTGTGACTTTTTTGCTTTCCCCTTTAGCCCGCCTGTGTGGCCGCTGGCTGGCCAGGCGCCGGAGGGTGGCCGGGCGCGCCTGCCCGCCATCGACGGCATGCACATTCCGCGACTCCGAAAGGCAATGTCCGGGCCATCAGAGAGAGTCAGAGACATCCAGCAGGGATCGCTGGTCGCTAACTCCTCTGATCCCGAGGAGGCCATCGTCGTGTGCTGTACCTGAGGGGCCAGGCGCTCAGCGACTGTCGTTGTCCTTCACGCCGGTCGCTTTCCCAGGCAGGCTGTCGAGCCCAAGGGGTGGCCTGTTCCTGCTTCCTTGTGCTGCCACGGCTTCCGCTCCTTTGCGCTGATGCCGCAGCGTCGTTGAAGGAGTCGCGAAGAGGGCAAGGAGGTGTGGTCTGCAGGACCGGTGCCCGACCACGTCGCGTCGCGCGCGCGAGCGCACAGAGGCCTGGGACCACACGTCGGGCATGAATCCATGGCCACGCAAGCGATCAGGGTCCTGGGAACGCTGGGACGGCGATGGGCGACGCTGCACCGTTCCGAGTTACTGCTGCTGCGTCGCGGAATGCGTTCGTGGGCGGGTCGCACAGGTGACACCAGCCTGCAAGGAGAGCGGGCGGCCCGATCCGAACACGTTCGTGCCAACGAGTCGTGCAACGCGGCACCGCAGGCTCCATAGGAACGAAAAGGCTGGTCATGGGGTGGTGAGAGCAGGTCATCGACGAGCGCACTTGGACAGCACGCCCCTCCACGAGGCGAGGTGCAGACGGGGCCCGTCGTATCGTCAGATGCCTGAAGGGAGCGGGCCAAGAGCGGCGCGTGCGAAGGACCTCCTTGCGACTGGGAAGGGGTCGGGCATTGAAGCCGCTCCAGAATGCAGGTTCCCGATCTGGCAGGCCACACGCGCCAGCAAGCAGCGCGCGTCTTGCGATTGCCTGGCCTCTGGTGAGCAGCTGCTCGAACGGGTTCCTCCAGGTCCCGACCCGCCTGCTGCAAGGAGTCGCCGTCAACGTAGGATGCGCTAGGCCATGGTTCTCGAGAACGCGTTCAGGCATCGTATGTTGGGCGTAGGGCTGTCTCTCTCTGACTCGTGCTGTATGTAGCCTCTCGCTCGTCGTCGTTAGAGGACCGTAGGATGGTCGGTCGGGCGTGGTGGAGCTCTTTGTTGCGAGTGATGCGGGCGTGGTCGGGGCCAGCAGGTCTGGCGAGTCGGGGACGGGTGCGGCCCAGACGTCTCGGCTGGACCGGCAGGCTAGGCTGCTAGGCTAGGCAGGGATCGCCCGCAACGAGCGAGGACCCTGCCTGCCTGTCTCCGCCCCGCGTAGCCTTTTGCCGCCTGCCTGGCAGTCCGGCCGGGCTTGGCTTGACCGCAGCCGGCTTCCGAACGCGCGACTTGCTTGAGACTCATGTTCGGAACTCGGACCACGCACGGTTGGGTCGCCCGGGTCCGCCGAAACAAAGGATCGGCTGGGCTTGGCGTTGGGCGCTGTGGCCTGGCTGTCCTCTTGCTTGCCTGGCGTAGGCCGCGCCGAAGAAGCCCACTTGCTGCGTCAAGCCAACAAATGGCGGGCCCGAGTCCGAGGTCCAGGGAGAGAGAGTCAGAGTCGCCCACGGCTCGCGGCGGTACTCGCGCGTTTCGTTGCCTGGATCCGTTGGCGGACGATCTGGATGAGCGCCGGCAGAGGACAGCTGAGCTCACGTCGCAGCTGTACCACTGTGCGGTCGCAGAAAACGCAGCGCGACGGAAGCGGTCGAGCGAGGTTCGGGCCGGGCTAGGCGGTTGAGCCACGCTTCAGCCCGGCGCGCGGCCGGCCCAAGCAAGGAAACGAACGGGCCGTGCGACGCCGAGAAGCTGAAGGGCAGCGCAGCATCGGACCTCCACCCGTCTTTGTGGGTCGCGACGGCGCCTTGCGAGGGTGGCCAGGCCGGGCCGGGCCGCGCCTCGCCCTTGCTGGCCCTCGCCCATCCGGCCTCTTGTTGCCTTTCTTCGCCTGGTTCCGCTGTGGTCGTCACTCTGAGTTATCCCTCATCCTCCTGGCAAGATCGGCATAGCGTCCACTGCCTCTACCTCGTCGTCCACGCCCGCCATCTACATACCAACTGCTGTCGCTGCAGCGCAAGGCGTAGTCCGCAGCCATGCCGTCCGACGTTGCGACCCGGTATCAGCCGCCGCTGGTCACAGTATCGGGCGGTGTCGTCTCGACCGTCCACACCGTCCTCGGCTTTATCGCCTTTTTGGGCGCGCTCGTCACCGCCCTTGCGCTCCACTATGAAAGGATCGTCAAGAACCACGTCGCCGGCTACCCGCAAGAGTACTGGCCCTCGGTCAGCGCAACCATTGGCGACTGGTTCCCGGAGCGCAACATCTTTCAGGTCGGCATCGCCCTGATGGCGGGGCCTCGCTTCCTCCTCGTATTCCTCTCCGCCCTCCTGGTCTCGCTCGCCACCCCTTCGGGCTCCAAGAAGGCGGCCATCCTGCTCATCGTCGGCACAGCGAGGACTTTCGCCTGCGGAGGCTGGGTCTACGTCACCTCGTCCGACCACCACGACTTCCACGACATCGCCATGGCCGCCTACCTCTTGCTCACGCCGCCTTGGATGTACATCACCAGCGGCAGCCTCGCGCCGCAGCCCAACAAGTACCAGTCGACCCCGGACGGCGACCGCGACAGCGTGGCGGCCAAGGCGAGGAAGATGCGACGCCTGGCCGCGACCCTGTTCTTCTCCTGCATGCCTCCAATGGGCCTCTTCTTCTACCGACACAATGTCCTGCGTATCCCAGGCGCCTACTCCCAGTATGCCTTCTTCGAATGGGGCCTGATCATCTTTGTGAGTTTGACAGGCGGGCGGTGGATGTTAATCGACGCGCGGTGGGCTGAACATCCTTTCTTCTCATGACTCGTGCAGGATCTCCTCTTTGACGCCGCAAGCGTGTACGACCTGTCGAGGCTGGAGCTCCACGTCATCGAGGCTCCGAAAACCATCGTAGCTGCGGGCAGCCCAGCCAAAGCAGACTCTGCCGCCAAAGTAGGAGGGGCATGGTTCAATGGAGGCAAGGCCGAAGCCTTCACCACCGGCGCCTGGAGCACCGTTCCGGCCGACTTTGGGTACGGACTCGCCTCGCTCCCAGTCGCGCAAGACGCTTCTCGACGTAGATGAGCGACCGCATAGACTGACTGATAGCACCACCGTGCCTGTGGTTACCCCTCCTGTATCCTCGCCGCCTTACGACCCGCAATCTACGGCTTTCTCGACTTATCGGTTTGCTCCCTGCAGCGTCAAGAAGGAGCCTGCAGGCGTTCAGACCAAGGAGGCGGGCACGAGCAAGAGGAGCGCCTATAGAGATGCGAAATCTCCCGAGAATCTCTCCACGCGAGACCTGGTGTCGTTGGGCTCGGAATGCTACCTCGGTGAGCAGCACGGTACGGCAGATTTAAGCGGAGACACCTGCGACAAAGTGCTGACCAGTGCTTCTCCCCTCCAGCCTTTTGCTTCTGGACCTCCCTGACGGCTCTCCATCCGATGATCTTCTTCTGTGAGTTTGCCGTGCATGTCCGACCTCGAACATGCCTGCAGATGCTGAGGTCAGAGCTTTGCATCGACATTGCCCCTCGACAGTCTCGGTCTACAATATGGGCATTGGCGGCCACGAGGCGCTGCTCGTCTCGCAGGTCATCGGTCTGGGCCTGACCCTCGCCATGCCTCCGCTGCGCCGTCCTGCGATGGACTCAATTGGCGGCATTGCTCACGTCGGCCGGCTGTCGAACCGTCCGCAGTCCTTGATGTGGCTGCTTTCGCTCGCCGGCATCGCCAGCTGGTGGATTGATAGCGCTCTGTACCGTCTGCTGGCGGTCGCGTTCTCCAACGCCGTGCTCGCGGTCCTCCTCGCCGTCGACTGGGGCGCCAGCTGGGAGTCTGGACAGCTGACCACCAAGGTGGCAGTGTGGCTGGTGGGGCTGCTGTTGTCCAACCTGGCCAAGTACGCCAACCACAGGTGAGCAGCTGCACGGCACGGCGCGCTGAAGCAGCAATTCCAGACGATTGCAGCCCGACTGACCACCCCTCTTGCCATCGCTTCTTCTGCCCCTCGTCGCTGCAGCAACAACCCGGCGTGGCCTTTCCTCGATTCGACCAACGGCGGGCTCAACCCGTATGCGCTCGCGCTCGGCGTGCTCTGCACCCTCGAGATCTGGACCAGGCCGCGCAAGGAGGGTCGGCCGGCCATCAACTTCCGCTCCGCCAACGAAGGCCTCGGCAGCTTTTGGAAGGCCTCGATCGGGACGGGCGTCCTTCTTTACGCCCTCCATGCTCATCTGACCGATACGGGAACGCTGATCGCCTGGGGTTGGACCGGTTACCCTGTGACTGGCCCGACGGCGATCCAGTACGGCTCCGTCATCCTCTCGGCCATGGCAGCCTCGACCCTCATCAGACTCGGCGAGCCTCGCGTGGCAACTAGCCCTCTGCTCGTCGCCGTCCACGCCATCTCGGCATACCTGCTCAAGTGGCACACGGACTGGGTGAGCTTCGTCGGCGCCGCCGGCTTCGCCTTCACCCTGCCTCCGCTCGCCTTCCCCCTGATCGCCGCGGCCATGCGCCACAACCCGCTCAAGGTGATGCTCGCAAGTTGGCTGGTTGCCAACGTGCTCGTCTTTGTCGGCATCCTCACCGTCGCCTACGCCTTTGTGCCGGGCGGCAAGATCATGCGCGAGAGGACGGGATTCATGCTCGCCCTGCAGGTCGTTCTGCTCGCCGTGGGGCAGCTCAATGCCCGCGAGGCCAACGCCATCGGTGCGCCGCCCAGCAACGACAAGGAAGCCGAAAAGGCGTCGTCGGCGGCGTCCTCGCGCCCCTTTGAGGGCGTGTCGGGCTTCAGCAAGTACCTCGGCCGCATCATGGCGGCCATTGTCATCGCGAGCAACATTGTTCCCGCCTTCCGCTTCGTGGAGCCGTCATCCATCGAGCCCTACCATGCGCCCGACAGGCTGGTGACGGCGGGCATGTGGACCGTCCACTTTGCACTCGACCAGCACATGCTCGACAGCTCACGGCGCATGTCGTCGATCATCAAGCACCTCGACCTCGACATCATCGGCCTCGTCGAGACAGACCTTCACCGGCCCGTGTTCGGCAATCGCGACCTGACCCAGTTCCTCGCAGAAGACCTGGGCATGTACGCCGACATCGGACCGAGCCCAAAGTCGAACACGTGGGGCGCCGTGCTCCTCTCCAAGTTTGAGATCATCAACAGCACCCATCACCTCCTTCCCTCGCCCAACGGAGAGCTCGCCCCCGCCATCCACGCCGTCCTGGACATCTACGGCGTGCACACCCACGTCATCGTCTCTCACAACGGGCAGGAGGAAGATCCGCTGGACCGCGAACTCCAGACTACCGAGATCGCCCGCATCCTCCGCGAGGCCTACCCGCACCCGGCCATCTTCCTCGGCTACGTCGTGACAAAGCCCCACGCGGAACGACCGGCTCCTTACAAGATCCTGTTCGAGGAGGGCCGGATCCACGACGTCGAGGTGACCGACATGAATCGATGGTGCCAGTACCTCGGATTCCGAGGGCTGCAGAGGATCGGGTACGCACGCGTCTCGCGGTACACGGTGACCGACACGGAGCTGCAGACAATGAAGCTGGTGGTCCCGGAGCATCCCATCGACCCGGACCGCAACGACCTGACCATGTTTGTCGCCGCCGAGACGTATCCCGAGTCGATGCGCTACCCCGTGGACTTGATAGATCCGGAAGCCAAGGTCTACGACCGGCACAAGTATTCGCCGTACCTGTATCCCATCTTCTACGCCAAGCCGTAGCGCAGCGGCCCCACGACGTCGATCAGAGAGAAATGTGACGTCGTTTTGCAATCCCATAGTCTACCAGCGACTTGGGCGTTCGACGGGTCAGGGTCGTTTGCGATCGTGGAGCAATCAGACGGCGTGCTTGTATTGGTGGTCGCCCGGCATCTTCAACAACGAAGGCCCTCGTGCCAGGTATCGTCGCGATGCCTGTCTTCCTGTGCTTACGTAACCCCGCCCCTCGATTTTTGCGGCGGTTCCAACATTTTTTCCGCGGCGGCGGGTGGAGGTTGAACTCGAGGTTCTTCTTGGCCTCTCCTCCTACCCTCTCCTACCCTCTCCCCTCTCCTCCCCTCTCCTCGACACCACTCGTACACTCTCCCCAACCACGGACCACCGCCATGTCGAGTAAACCCGCGGTCAGGAAGCGAGGCAAGAAGCCCAGCAAGCGCAGGCAGGAAGAGGCAGAAGCGGCGAGCGTCAAACCAGCGGCCGCAGCTCCCGCCTCGGCCCAACCGACTGCCCAACCCACCGCCGCCGACGAGGACGAACAGCCCGACTGGATCCGAAGCGATCCGTCGTCGTCGTCGAGGAACACCGCATCGGATGCACCCTTCGGCTTCGTCGATGCAGAGGTCAAGGCCTACTTCCGACAGATCTGGGCCACGCTGCAGGAGCTCGAGGAGCAGGGCTACCGAGCCCGCAACACCTACTCCGAGCTCGAACAGCTTTCCAGGCCGAAAGGTGCCGGTGCTTCGTATCAAGATGGCGCCGAAGACGGCGAAGGAGAGGACCAGCTGGCCCTGTTGATCAAGGCGATTTTGTCCGAGGTCGATGGCAAGGAACTCATGCTGGCCACGGATCCGGACACGAGCATGATCATGGAAGGCCTCGTCCAGAGGGTCGGCCAGAAGGCGGTCCGGGTGCTCATGGACCGCATGGCCGGCAACTACGCGACGCTCGCCTCCCATCGCTTTGGCTCCCACGTCCTCGAGACCTGCCTCGTGTCGCTCCAGCCCGCCATCACCGCCGAGAACAAGAGCGAAGGGGGCAAGGGCAAGGCACGGCTGGCCGAGATTGTCAGCGAGGAGGGCGTGCTGAGGTCGTCGACCCACATCTTCCTTGGCTTCTGCAGCGTGAGTCCGCCTTTCAGGTGCCGCGGATGTCTACGAAGCGCGCCGAACTAACTTGCGTGCCCGTTTCTTCCGACGCGCGGCTCTGCTGCCACCCGCAGGAGATCGAGGACGGCATCCAGGACCTCGCAAAGGACGCCTTTGGATCGCACGTGCTGCGTTCGACGCTCCTCCTCCTCACAGGCCAGCCCATCCAGTCGTCGGCGGTGCAGCGCTCCAAGCGCTCGGCCAAGTTCCGGCAAAAGAAGAACGGCGAGCTCGACGTCGACCCCGTGACCCGCGCCACGGCCGAGACCAAGATCGTCATCCCGTCGTCGTTCCTCACCACGCTGCGCAAGATGACGGCGGCTGGCTTCGCCGGTCTCGGTGCCGCAGACATCCGGAGCCTTGCCATCGACGCAGTGGCCAGCCCGGTCCTGCAGCTCTTCATGTCGCTTGAGGGCGCGGAGCTGGCCAAAACAGGCGACGACACCGCGTGGAAGGGCAGCCTGACGGATACGGTGCTCGATGACCTCGTGTCGGCCTCGCTGTCGACAAAGGCGGGCGACGCGGCGGCTGGCACACGGGAGAGGTCGGACCACCTCGAGTCGTGCCTGCGCGACTCGGTGGCCTCGCATGCCGTCCAGGTCGCCGTGTCGATTGCGCCGTCTCCGGCCGTCGAGCTCTTCTACAGCACCTACATCTCCGGGCGCCTGGGCCAGCTCGGCGCACACCCTTCGGCGCGGCACGTCGTCATCGAGTCGCTCCGCCGCCTCTCCACAGCGCCCATGCTAGACCTGGTGATCGACGAGTGCGCCAAGGTGGGCGATGCGCTCGTCAAGCAGTCGGCGCTCGCCGTCTTCCAGGCGCTGCTCGAGGGCTGCGGCGCGCTGCAGACAAAAGAGGCCGAGGCGGTGCGCGCGCTCCTCGCGGCGTTTAAGCTGGTTGCCAAGGAGGGTCAGCTCGATGAGAGGCAGGTCAAGGACGTCGTGCCCGTCCTCTTGAGCGGCAAGACGAGAAAGGCCTACTCCAAGGTCCTCAGCGGGAGCGGAGACAGGGACGGAGAGAAGAGGGGCAAGGGCAGCAAGAAGGACCTCAAGAGGAAGCGAAAGGGCGGCGACAAGGAGAAGAAGAAGAGGGACGGGAACGAGGACGAGGACGAGGACGAGGCAGAAGCCGCCGAGCCCGCCTCTGATGCCGAGGTTGCACACGAGGATGAGGCCAGCGCCGAGCAAGACAAGGCACCAAACGGCGACGCCGACGCCGACGCCGACGCAGCAGCCGCAGTCGACGCGCCGCTCCGCGCGGACCTCGTCTCGATCCCGGGCAGCCTGCTGCTGCAGACGCTGGCGCGTCTGTCGTCGCCGCACAACGAGGTGGTGGTATCGAGCCTGCTGGCGCAGCCGTCGCTGGTGCCCTTGGCGTGCGATGCGACGGCGTGCCACGTCGTGCTGGCCTGCCTCAACAGCAGCACCCTCGCCTACGCCCAGCGCCGGAAGCTCGTCATGGCCTTTCTGCCGCACATCCACGTCATCGTCGACGACAAGTGGGGAAGCAGGGTGGCGGATGCCGTCTGGGCTCGAGCCGACGGCTTCACAAAGGTGCGTGGTCGAGAAAGCCGGGTTTTTGACATCCTCATCTGACACCTTCGTTCTTGGCCGCCGCTGACCTTTCTGCCGCGTTTGGTCCCCTCGCTCAACGACCCCCTCCTCCTCGATGGGCATCGCAGGAAAAGCTGGCGAGCACCACCCTCAAGCACGAACGCCACCTCCTCTCGTCGTACTACGGCGGCTTCTTCCTGCGCAAGCTCAACCTCGCCCTCTTCCGCCAGAGCAAGATGCGCGAGTGGCGCGAGTCGGTCGGCACCGCCGCTTCGCAGGGTGCCGTCCCGCTCCTGCCCTCGCTCGTCGACGAGGCCGAGTCGAGGCGCGGCACCAGCCTCGTCCTCGACCTCAACAACCCCAATCGACTGGTCGTACAGGACGACGACGACGACGACGACGATGCGCAGACGCGAAAGAACAAGAAGAGGAAGGTCGAAAAGGTCGATCGGGAGCTCGACGATATCCTGGCACAGATCTAGCATGCGCCTTTGTATTTGCAATCAACCACATGACATTATCGATCCCGCCTCGCCTCGCCTCGCCCCCAATGGCGTGGCATCGGCATTGCGGTGCTACACCACCTCGACCCACTTTTCCTCGACGATCAACACGCCCCTCCTCGGCGTGTTCAGGCGGATGACAGAGCGTTCCTCGTCCACTTCGGGCCCCTTTAGCGTGTCGAGTCCACCGGACCGACCAGCAAAGAGAGCGACGACGCGGCTCGACCGCGATCGGAGCTTGCTGGGCTTGGGGATCGCCGCAGCGCCCCGGCCGAACTTGCCGGCCCGGCGTGCGGCAACGTACCTCTCGACGTCGGCGATGCGGGCAGGCTCGGTCTCGTCGAGGCCCGTGACGCCCTGCCTGCGCTGTGCCTCCGTGCGTGCGACGTAGAGCGTGGGGAGCGACTTGGACCGCGCATCGTACCGCTTCGCCGCCGACGTGGTCGCGGGCGAGAGGTAGTACGTACCCTGCTGCTCTGGCTCCGACTCCTCTTCGGACGCGACGGATCCGCCGTCGGGGTTGTCGCGGTGCAGCTGCGCGGGACGGCGGCGGGACCGTGCGGCAGCGGCGGCGAGCGACGAGGCGGCGAGGAGGTCGCGGTGTCGCGTCGAAACGTCGTACGCCCTGGCCAGGTCCGAGGCGCTCAGCTCGCGCGCAGCGTTGCGACGGTGTATGCTGGCGGCGCGCGCCGGATCCAGGCCGAGATGCGGGTTCGGAAACGAGTCCGACTTTTTCGAGACCTGGCTCAGTCGCTTGCTCCGCTTGGCCGGGTCGCTGTTGCGTCGGCAGTCCATCGCGGCCGTCGTGCTGCTGCACGACTCGTCGTCTTCGTCGTCGTCGAATTCGGAGTCCGAGGAAAAGTAGGAGCGCGCCTCTTCGCTCGCGTCGCTCTGACCTCGTTCAAACTCGCCCTTGAGGTCCAACGAGCTGTGCCGGGCAGGGACCGAAGGCCGTCGTGCGCCCAGGCGTCGCGCTTTGGCGAACGACATCTCGGTGGCCTGCAGATCGGTGCCGGCGAAGAAGGAAGATGCGGTCTGCCGCCCCAGCGGGCGTGGGCGCGACAAGACCGAGGTCGACATCGAGGTCGGGAGACCCGGTCTCCCCGGCGCGAGTCCATCGTCTGTCGGTCGCACGGTCGGTCGAGGCACTTTCGGCGGGAGCGTGAGCTGTCCAGAAAAGGGCCGGTGGAACTGCGGCACCATTTCGAACCTCGTACTGCCTTCCTGCTCGAAGCCGGTCGGGCAGGTGATGGACCGGGTGAGGGTGGGCAGCGGGCTCCGCTCCATCTGGCCGGACTGTGATGCGGGAGTGGCCTCGTGATCTCCGACCAGTGGTCGGGCGCCGACCGGCAGAGGGGAAGGGAGCGCCTCCATCGGGTCGAGGATGCATCCGTCCAGCTCCAGCTCCGGCGTCGTCAGCGGCGCGTCAAAGGGGCTATCGCAGAGGTGCGCTGCCTTCTCCTCCCGTGGCGTCGTTGCCGTCGAGTTCGAAGACCACTGCAGGCTGTCGTCGACGAGGTAGCTGAACTCCCGCATGATGAGCGGCGTGCCAGCCATGTCCTCGTCTTTGAGCGTGACGGCAGCCTCCTTGTCCGTGCGATCAAACCTGGGCGAGGGGGTATTGAAGGCGAGCGGACGAGCGCACAGGCGCGTGACATCGATCTCGTTGGGCCCCAGAGGCGAGGCGACGTCGGCGGGCGTCGTGGGCATCGAATCGTCGCCACCGAGGTTGAGCGAGCCCACCTTGTCCAGAGGCTCGGCATCGAGCCTGTCAGCCGAAAGCGCTCCAGAGAGGATCGGCGATGAGCGGGCCGAAGTGGCATTGGAGGCCAGTCGCCGGTCAACTTCCGCGCCGAATCGGATCGACGGCTGTCGCCGGCCTTGCTGCTCGGCCAGCTGGATGGGGCTGTGCTCGACCCGGGTCTCGTCCGAGTCGTGCGAGCTGGACCAACTGCTGCCGACCTCTGCGCGTTCGCCGTCGTAGTCGCTGGCATCCTCGTTGTCGGTGAGCGAAGGGACCAGTGAAGCGGTGGGTTTGCGGTACCGGTACCCCATGCCACAGAGGAAGGCCATCTGCTCCTCGACCGAGAGGCCGAGGACGTGGTCGAGCGAAGCGCTGGGCTCCTGTCGGCCCGAGGACAGCAGCAACTCGCCGTCGTTGTCCAGCAGGTGGAAGCTGGCATGCAGGCGTGCCAGCTTCTGGGCATCGGCGTCGGACTCGGCCTCTGACTCGCTCGAATCCGATCCCGCACCGTCATCGAGACACGGCGGCGATGATTGCTGATCCTGATACGCGGGCAGTTGGCTGGCTTGCTGGTAGCTCGGCGGCATGCTACGCTCACTACGGCCGCTGCTGATTGGCGAGCAGACCAGATCTTCGTCTGGCCTGAGAACCTCGCAGCCAATCGACCCGGACTTGCTGTCGCTCTTCTCCATCACCAGTCCGGCGTCGACCAAGACTGGGGACGCTGCCCTGCTCGAGTCTGGCGACCAGCCCTGGCTGCCGCTTAGAGCGAGCGATGCCGGCCACTGCATGGGAGAAAAGGTGCACGCCGCCAGCGGCAGGCACGGGCTAGCCTGGTTGATGAAAGCCTCGGCATCGGCGCGGAAAGACGCCGTACGGACGCTGGAGGGTACCCTCAAGGCCGTCGCCGTTGGCCGCCTCCGCGTTGAGGGGAGCCGTCCCGCAGGACGTGGACGGTCCGTCGGTGGCAGCGGGAAGCTAAAGGTCTCGGAGCGCGATCTAGACAGGGCGCCTCTGCCCTGTCCAGACACGCTGTGCTCTGGCGAGAGGCAATCGAAGACAACGTCGTGCGAAGCTGTCGCCCTGCGACGATCTGGGCCCATCTCATAGTCACTTTCCGAGCTCGACTCGGCTTCCGACTCGATGGTGCGACGCGGCGGGTGGTGCTGCCTGCGGCCCGGGGAGACCCTCCTGATGACGCATCCCGAGGGGACGCTGCGCGAGTTGGGGATGTTGAGCCGCTGAACGGGGGGATACTGATTCTGTGCTGAAAGGCCAGGCAGCATGAGCGGGCGCAGCTTGAGGCTGTCCTTGCTGGATCCTTCGGGTCGAATCTCGGCGGAGAGGCTGTGGGTGGCGTGGTAGCCGAACTCGTCCATGTTGGCGTGCGCGGGTCTGGCTGCAGGTCACGACGCCTCAGCGGGTAGGCGATCACGTCGGTGGCGGTAGGGCGCTATCAGAATAGTTGGGTCGAAGCAATCTCAAAGGACGATGCAAAAGCGACCGGCGCTTTTGCGGCAAGAGTTGTGCAAGAAGGAGAGGGATCAAGAAGCGGAAGATCAAGGCAGAGAAAGGGAAGAGGAGGCGGTGGCGACCAGGCACCTATGAAGCTGAAGGAAAGAGCGGGAGAGGTGGGAGTAGCTCGACAGGAGAGAGTCAGCAGCTCGGCGTTGCCCTTATGAGAGTGTCGCTGCCAGCAGCGGATGGCTTGCTTGACCACCACGGCGACATGACGGCCCCCCCGAACCGGGAAGGTCCTGCCAAGCCCTGGCCGCCTGGAAGAGCTGGGCGAGGACTGCGGCCAGACGGTCTAGGTTGGAGGAAGGATCTACGCAGCGTTAGTGAGGTGCAGCAGTGTCGTGCCGGCTGGCAGTGGTGCGACTGGGTCCAAGTGGACGGGGCTGAGTCGGAGGGAGCGACATACCGCGCGCTGCTGAGCCTCGGGACATATCGTTTTCCGCCGTGCGCAGCCGGTAGCCCTGCAGAACAGGGTCCGGGTGAGGTAGAAGTTGAAGAGCGTCAGAGGGCGTCAGCGGCGTCGCCTGCTCCCGAGTGTCTGGCGAGCAAGCCTGCAGAGTGTGGGAGGACGTGATCTCGATGTCATTGCGGCTGGGCACGGTGAGGTTGGTGGTGGTGGTGGTGGTGGTGGTGATGGTGGTGGCGGTGGCGGTGGCGGTGGCTGGTGGATGGCTGGCGGCGTACGTGGTTGAGGAGCAGCCGAGTTCGGTCCCGAGGTGGACCCTTGTTGGATCCACGAGACACTGTGGGCCGCTCTCGGCAACGCGGGCCTTCGCTACTCGACCACCACCATCCTGCCATCCGATTCCGCTTTCTGCCTGCTGCCTGCGTTCGCACGGCTGCACGACTGTCCAAGCGTCAAGCATGCCGCGCCCACCGCTGACTGCCGAACAGAAGAGGATCAGGGTGAGCTCGCCCTTCGCCCGGTCCATGAGAAGCGACAAGGCAGCAGTAGCCGCTGACGACCTCGGTTCTCCGTCCCCGCACCCTCCGGTCCGTCCAGACCATTATGATCTCGTTTCCCATCCTGGTGGCCACGTCCGGTGAGCCGACGAGCTGCTCCTCGTGTTGGCCAAGCCGTACTGCTGCCCGCTCGTGCTGACCGCCTCCCTTTCTTGATCCCACGCATCGCGTCTCGCTGCAGTGGTCCTCTTCAAGCGCCTCTACCTCGGCGAGGAGCAGAGGAAGCTGCCTTCGCACGGAAAGATCGCTCCTCCGCCCGCCTAACGCGGCCCGCCTGTCGTCCGTCGTTGGACAGAACACCAAGCCGACCCTGCACACGACGGACCAGTGCCCGTGCCGGCCCTGGATCCTCCGTCGCAAGTGCACACCCGGGAAGCAGCCACACACCAACGCCCACGCCGCTGTCGCAGGTCCCCTGGAGCTGCTGCGCCTCGGTGAGGAATAAGCCAGCCGTGTCATTTTAAGCATGCTGCGGACCCAGCCATGGACTCCCGGCTGTGTCGGAGAAGAGAGCATGCGGGTTCGATCAACGTCCGTGTGGGCGCCTGCTCCTTCCATCAATGCTCGCGGCCATCGCGGCCCGTCTCGAGCCCAGCGCCGCCTCTAGCCCACCGCTTCAAGGGGCGAATCCGCTACTCCGCCCATCACCCCTCTATGCTGCCTCTTGCGAGCTGCGGGCCGCCCGCTCGTTCTATGCCTATGCCAGTGGCGAGAAGATGACGGCATCGCTCGGCATGGCCTCGGCCGACGTCGCCGCCCCCTCGTCGCCGCCGCCCTCTCCGCTCAATTCAAACTCGACGTTGGCCTTGAGCAGGACCACCTTGGTCTCGTCCTGGTTCTTGACCTCGTGAACCTTGACGGCCACCTCGACCGACTCGACTCCGGCCTTTTCTGGGCCGCCGCGCTCCGCCGGATCCGCCTGGTCTGGCCGTATCGCCGACTGCACGGCGCTGGCCCGGACGCGGAGGACGAGTCGCTTGCTCTGGTTGGGCGACAGGGCACAGGTGACGTTTGACGAGATACGCTTGAGCTTCGTCGTCGTCAAAGAGGCCTCCGAAGCCAGAGCTTTGGCTGTGCTGGCGTCCTCGACACCTTGTTCGCCCTCGGCGCCCTCGTCGCCGGCCTGCGAAGCGGAGGCAACCATCGGCGAAGACGGCTTGACGCCGAGCTGCGAGAGGCGCTCCTCGTACTTCTTGACCTTGTCCAGGTTGCCCTTGCGGCTGGCAATCTTGAGCTTCTGCGAGAGGTGCTCGACCTCCTCTTCCTCCTCGCGCGTCAGCGTGCCCTTGACGTCTCCGTCGCTCGCCATGCTAAGCGCAACGTCGACGATGCACCGCTCCATCAGCAGGTCGTGCGGGTCGATGGCGATGACAAACGACCTCGGCTTGCTCGTCGTGTTGCTCAGGACAAAGCTCTCGGGCGTCGACAGTTTGCCAGGCGAGATGGCGCCAAAGTCGATGGTGGAAGGATCGACGGCAAAGTTGGACACCTTGCGCACGTTGGCCTTGAGAACGACCACCTGGTCATTGTCCCGGTCGGCCACGTTTTCGACCACGAGCTTTTCCTGGAAGGTGCCGGACATCGAGGGCGAAAAGACGAACTCGACCTCGCGCTTGCCGTAGCCGGGCACGACGCCGTAGCGTCCGCCGCTGAACTTGATGTCTCCGCTGGCGATGCTGCCGCTCTTGCGGATGCAGTAGCGCAGCGCCCACTCGCTCCGGTTCGAGATCAGGATCCGGCGCGTCTTGGCGTCGCCCTTTTCCATGTGCCCGAAGTTGATGTGGGGCTGACCGAGCTCGAGCAGGCTGCGGCACGTATTGGACCGGATCATGAGGTCTCGCACCGGCAACTCGTCGACGTCGAGCTCGGCCATGCCTGCAAACTCGTCCGAGGCGCGCACGACGCCCATGTCAAAGTCGACCAGCCTCATGAAGATCCGCGAGTCCTGCTTGCGGGCGTTGCCCTGGACGTGGGGCCGGGTGCTGCCGCTCGGATGGTAGACGGCGATCACCTGCTTCTCGCTGCCCGCCGGGATGTCGAGCACCTCGACGGGCACGAGACGCCCATTGTCAATGGCGAGCTGCAGCTCCCTCTGCAGGTTGATCTCGGTCCGGACGAACTGCTCCTCCGCCTGGACGCTGCCCAGGAACAAGGTGCTGAGTGTGCTGTTCTGACCTTCGACCGCCGACAGCAAGTCCTCGAGCGACATGCGCGACACGTCGGCAGAGTTCGACAGCACCGGCGCTGCCTTGCGCTTGCCGGTGAGCGCCGGCGAAAAGTGGACCCTGCCGCCACTGTCTGGTCGTGCGTCCTTGTCACCCTTGAGCACGCCGGTGATCGACGGCTGCCCGGTCCCGGCCTTTGCGGTCTTGAGCGAGCCCGTCACGCGGATATCCTTTGCGAGGGGCGACGGCAGGCGCCGCGCGTTGGCTGCCGCCTTTGTCGACGGGGCCGAGGAGTTCGAAGTCGGGGCGCGCGACCTGGACTCCTTCTTTGATCCGGGTGCCGGCGGCGCGCCATCATCGCCGAGCTTGCCGTCTCCGGTCGCCTGCTTGGCCTTGGCCTGGCCCGTTGCGCTCGAGTGCTTGGCCTTGCCTCCCGTCGCGATTGTCTCGAGCATCGCATAGCGCTTGCTCTTGGCCGAGATGCGCCGCGCATCCACAGGCGGGCCCGTGGCCAGGTCAAGGAACTCAAAGTCGCGCAGCAACGTACGGTCCTTAAACGTCATCGACTTGCCGTAGACAAGCGTGATCCTGCCCTTGCCACCCTTCTTGAGCGCCGAGACGAGGTTGATGTGAACTTTGGGCTTGACGGCGCCGGCGTCTTTCTTCTGCGACGGGGCACCGGCGCTGACGTCCTTGCGCAGGAAGTGGCTCTGCTTCTGCGCCAGCCTCCACGACGTGTTCTCGTTGCGGACCGAGGCGGGCGAGTCGACCGAGATCGTCTCGAGGAAGCGCTCCTTGAGATCAGATCCTTTGAGCGTCGGCTTCGGGGCTTTGGCCCGGGTGCCATCCGTCTCCGTGCCAGCGGCTCCGTCGCCGCATTCGAGATCGGCGTATCGATTCGATCCCCTTGCAGCGCCGCCCTGCTTGTCCACAGGAGCGGCGGCATCCCCACTCTGCTTAGGCACGGCCTTGACATAGAGCGTGAGGTCTTCGGGATGAGCCGCCGAGAGCTCCAGCGCCAGCTTTGCGCCCGACGTGTTCTCGATGGTGAAGTTGCGAATCCTCGTCGAGTTGATGTTGACGTCGCCGAAGTCGACGAAGTTGGAGCCGGTGGGCGTCAGCAGGCGGTAGAAGAGCGAGTGGAAGCTGATGCGCTGCTTGTCGACGTTGACCGAGCGGACCTCAAAGATCTGGTCGTCGTGCCGGTTGAGCAGGTTGGCGACGGTGATCTGTTTCCGGTATGACTCGTTGATCCGGCGCGGGAACGATTCGACCTTGAGCTCGACCGTCTGGAGCGCAGGGATGGCCACCTCGTCCTTGTACATGCCCAATACCTTGGACACAAAGCGCAGATCCACCCGTGCCGTGAGCTCGGACCGATTCGTCACGGCAATGTTGGCAGACTTGCGCGTGCCTACTTGCACCTCGCCAAGATCGATCAGTTTGGGGCTGACCGAGATAAACGAGGTGCACGTCCGGCTCTGGCAGACGATCGTCTTCCGCTCGCGCCCGCCCTTGGTGCGCGTGCTCCCGGAGCGAGATCGAGCGTAATCGAGCGAGACGTTGAAAGACCGCTCGACCAGCCGACCGCCCGTAAAGTCGGCGTCGAGGTCCTCTCTGGCTGGCTTGTACGAAACCACCACCCGGTATTCGCCGCCGGGTCGTAGGACAAGCTCCTCGAGCTGGTTGCTGTGCGCCTGCTCGACATTGCGTAGTCCAGAAAGGGCACGCCCGAGTCCCGATCGGGGATGCTTGCCGCCTGCGGTCGAGCCGGGATGGGACGACGTCGACGTGGCGGGCAAGGGGCCCATCCGGCTTTCGCGTGAGTGCGCCGTGGCCTCGGACTTGGCCGATCCAGCATCATCCGTGCCTACGGCATCGAAAGCCTTGTGCTCGCCGAGCCGATTCCGGGACGACGGCCGGGACAGGAAGCTTGAAGACGATTGGCTATACGGGTTCGTCGAGATGCTTTGATGGTCGCCGTCGCTACCAACGCGGGCGGAGAGGGCCTTGGCGGGGCGGGAGCGCTCGTCGTCCGAGCCTGGTCCTGAGTTGAGGCGCTCGAGACGGGTTGCCAGGGACTCCTTGGTGAGCGACTCGAGACGAGGATCCTTGGCACTGAGGCCGGTCGGCACCCGCTCGTCGACAGGCGATGCGGGACGCGAGCCCTGCTGCGATGCAACCGACGAGGCATCGACATCCTCGCCCTCCGAGCGGTCGGACTGCGCAGCCAGACCGGAAGCCTGGGCAGGCGTCGACAGAGGGTCGAGCTTGGAGAGCTCCAGTTTTGGCGGGTCCGCCTCGGCAGGAGTGGCTTGCGCGTAGTGAGTGGGCGTCTTGGCCAGCTCCGAGTACGTCGCCGAGGGTTCAAGCCCGACTCCTGGACCCCCCGCTGGATCGAGACTGATTGCGCTGCTCGAGTCCAGTGCCGACGAAAAGTGCGAACCGACGTCTCCGCTTGAGGGTATCGAGATGTCGCTGGCCACGGAGCTCGGGGGCAGCTGCTCGTCCTCGATGGCTTCCTCGTCGGCCTGCGGCGCGAGCTCTGCCAGCTGGAATGTCATGTCGATGCCTCTTGGCGCGCCAAATTGGACGTCGAGGAGCACATCTGCCGTGTTCTTGAGCACGAGAAGCTGGCGAGTCCAGTGCCCACCATAGCAGTCGCCGAAGTCGAGGATGTCGCCGGAAAGCACCGCCAACGAGTCGTCCTTAGCCACGCCGAGGATGTTGGCCCGGACAACGACGCGGATGGCATTGGCGGAATCGTGCAGGTTCGTGAAGGTGATGACCTGTTCGTAGTCCTTGCACGGCTCCTGAGGTGCGAGCCGCAGCTCGACTGCCCGCGTCGTCCGGGGCAGCAGCCCGAAAGGGTCGTGCGTGACCGAGTCGTCGTCGGCGCTGACCATCGGGAGAGGCGAGCCATCGTCCGCGCTGAGGAGGGTGATGGGTCGGGCCTGCAGCATGTTGCGAGCCTCTTCCATGGTGGCCTGGCAGATGCAATCGATCTCGGAATTGTTGCGAAGGACAAGTGTCCGATTGTACGCCTGGCCGACGAGGGCATCGCCAAAGTCGATCTCAATCAGACTGTTGCCGGAAGTGCTGGTGATTTCGGAAGAGTGCAGGATGGCGTCGATCGAGGGACGGCAGCATCTCGCCGAGACCAGCATTGTCTTTGACTGTCCCGTGCCTTCGTCGGGCAGCGAGAAGGACGAGGATGTTGCTGCGGTGGTGGACGACTGGACCGAGCCGTAGAACGACGCCGGGCGCGACGACGCGGCTGACGACAAGCCGCTAAAGGGCGTGTCGACGAGGGCGTCGTCGGCGAACGGAGCCTCGGCGCGGGGTAAAGACCATGCCCTGGCCGTGATCGAACCGCGCACGTCGAATGTCGAGAACTGCGGCTTTGCACCGAGGACCATGCGCTCTGGTTTGGCAGCGGCACATAGCTCCGGCGCCGAGCGAGGCGAGGCGAGAATCGCTTCGTTGCCGGTCTCGAGGGGGTTACGTTCGGCCTCTTCTTTTCCGAACGGATCGTGCTGCTCGCCAAGAGCCGCCGGCGTGGACACGGGAGAGGTAGACGTCAGCGCACTCGCATCTGTCCGCGAGGCGAGGGAATCGTCCAGGGCGCGCTCGAAGCGCGGTGTCTGCTGAAAGGCCGGTGACGGAGGCGACTTAAAGGCCAGGCTCTGCAGCTGATCACCCTCGCCGTCCGTCGTGAACGCCATGGGGCGGAACATGACGTAGAGCGTGGTGCTCGCACCCGGGTTCAGTACAAAGGAGCTAGCGTTCTCGAGGTTGGCAATGACGTGTCGCCAGCCTCTGAGGTTCTGTGGCGACAGGCCACCTCTCCTGGCCCAGGTGAGGCTGTTTGTTGGCCAAGCGCACGGCTCGAAGTCTGTGGCGAAGGGGCAGGAGCGGGGTTGGCAATGGAGGGGTATCAGACGATCGTACACTTCCTGCCGGATGGAGCGGCTTGCGTCTGCGACCTACCATTCTTGGGCGCGGACCGTTTGCGGCGCATGAAGCTCAACCCCTGGCTGAGGTTGGTGTCCATGCGGACCAGAACGCTGTGCTCGGCGTCCTGGTTGCAGATCGTCAGCCGGTGGACGCACGGAGCGTGGTTGGCGTAGGCCTGGTCGAAAACCAGCGTGTCACTGGGCGAGATGGTGATCAGCGCCGGCCCGATATCGCATAAAGTGGTGTCGAGGCCCTGGCGTGATGCCTGCAGATCGATGTCCACCCGTCGCTGATCTGGCAGGGCCAGAGTCATCTTGCCCTGCTGCTGACGGGACGAGACACCGGAAACGGTGGCAGGGTCGGGTCGGCCGCTCTGTGATGCGCCACGGGCTTCGTTGGTTGGGCCAGGCAGCGGTTCGTCCGAAATCGAGAGGGAGCGCGACCGACCGGAGCCGGTCGACGAGGGTGCCATGGCGGAATGCGCTGCATCCGAAAGCTCTTTGGCGCTTCTCTGCTCTGTCGCGGATCGCAGTGACATCGGATCCGCCAGCACCGCCTGCGCCGACGGCGAGCTGCCCCCGCTGCCAGAGTAGACGCTGTTTACTGTAGACGTGGTCCGACCGTCGTTGAAGTCTTCCGCCGAAGTGTACCGCTGCGACAGGGCATCTGACCGAAGCTTGCCGATTGGGGAGGGCGGGACTTCGCGTTGCGAGCTCTTCGTTGGTCTACGCGTGTTTGAGCTGGTCTCCTGGTCGCCCAGCACCCTCTCAAACGCCCCCACCCAGGGCTGTTTCGCTGCGCCCGGCCCATCACCCGGCTCCTCCTCCAGGGCGAAACGAGGCGATGGTCTGGTGTATTGATGGTCTGACATCCTTCCTGCGCGAAGTGGTCTGTTGCTCGTGGCCGAGCCGGGACCGGGGAAAGCGGCGAGGAGGGCCAAACGTGTAGGCCGTAGAGCGAAGAGGGCTGCGGACGGAGCGCCAAAGGAGCGGGGACGGGGCTGCGTCGGGACGAGATCGGTGGTCCTCGGATGGTCCGGTGGTGCCAGAAGGCTGGGACCGGAAAGACGCTATCAAATCATCCCCGAAGCTTGGTGCAGGGTCGGTGCGGTCGATGTCAATGGCGAGCAAGACGGGGAGAGGATGCGGTCGACGGCTGAGGGAGTCGGCCAAGACTGTCTGAGCGTGGGCAGCGGTGCGTGCGGATGGTCTTCGTGACGAGGTCGTCCCGGCGAGGAGGGGGGCGTGCAAGGATCGATCGATGCAAGGACGATTGGCAGCCGCTCTGGGCAAGAACGAGGGCTTGAGGCCGGCTGGCCTCGCTCAACGACTGAGGGTACGTGTCGGACGGACGCGCACGAGAGCGGATCGACGGCGACACAAAGTGTCGTGTGACGAGCAGAGCTTCGTGCACCCCTAATTGCCGTGTGTGATGAGCGACAAGAGTGAGCAGGTAGAGAAGTCAAGGAAGAGAGAGGGGCGGAGAGAGATGGCGGAAGAGACGAGGATCTCCTTTCTTGCTCCGAGGTCGAGATCAGGGGCGAGCAGGAGCCGTGCGTGGGGGATAAGCCTGCTGGATCGGTCCGTGGTGGCTGCTGCGCACTCGAGCTTGGGGTATGCTTGGGACCTGTGTTGCTCCTTGACGCTGTCGCTGCCGCTGCCGTTGACGATGGTGTTCGCGGCGGTGGTGCTGCTGCTACGATGACTGCCAAGATTGAAGGGCGATGGCGGGCCACGCCAGACGTCGGTGCGAGGCTGCGGAGAGAGAGCGCACGACTGTGGCCACGGACGGCGGAAGCCTGAACATGGCTGGCCGGCAGGGCTGCCTGGGTCGAACGAGCGATTCCAGGCTCGAGGCCCGCCTACACCAGGCGGGGCGGGCGGACAGGCCGAGAGGCGGGCATTAGCCTGGCCTGGTCTGGCCTGGTCTGGCCTGGTCTGGCCAAAGGCACGGGCAGCGCGGTGATCGTCTGAGCCGTCCACGGCAGCTCAACTTTTTTTCTTTTGGTTGCGGGTGCGAGGCCTCGCCTCGAAAATCCCGAGCGCGGGCCCCGCCTCCCATCCATCGGCAAACAACCAGCAGAGGGGCAGCACCGACGACGAGCATCGGTCGAGCCGGGCGGCGACGTACCCTCTGTGGCCCTGCTCGGCATGCTCATGTCCTGGCCTGCACTCGGTCCCCCGCCTGCCTTCGAGACAGCACGACTTCCTGCTGGCAATAGCCGCGGGATGGGGTCGTGTGGTCGAGGAGGGCTGCCGGTGGTGTCGTCAGCTGGAGAGGACCAGGGGAGGGGCCGGCCTGCTTTTGCCCTGCCTGCCTGCCTGCCTATCTGCCTGCTTGCTTGACGCTTTCGACTTTGGCGTGGCCCCAGTCGGACGAGCCGAGGTCCATCCAGGGTCCTCTCTGCTTGCTTCCTTACTTCAAAGGCCCGACCACCGCCGCTCGCCTCTCGGCCGACGGGAAAGCCCGCAACGCTGCGCTCCTCTTTCTCGGAGGCTTTTTGGCCCAGCGCGGCCCTGTCCCGGCCTCGGAAGCTTCTCGCGCCTGGATGTTCCTCGCACTCTCTGGCTCTCTACGATTGTCTCGTCCGCCATTTCTTACCTCTCCTGCACTGCCGCTGCTCTGACTTCTGCTTGTCGAGCGTGCTTTGCGCCGTCCTCTGCCCGACTTTGATCACCCTCGGGACAGGTCTTGACGACGAACGTCCACCTGTCTGCGGAGAGGAAGGCCCGTCAGGAGCGGTGCCGCCATCTTCCCGTGCTCTCGGTAACGTTCCGCTCAGGCTAATCCCCTCTGGTGGCACCTGGTCCCGCCCGCCCGGCTGTGCCAAGAGGAGGGCTAGTCAAGGTGCTGATCCGCTTCACATCGGGCGTCTCCTGCGCCAACTCGTCAGCCTGTCGGGTTGTCCGAGGCAGAAGAGGAGCAGGTAGTTGGATCCCCGGCTGGACGCCGCGCCTCCAGCCACGGTCGACCATGCTTGGCTCCAGGGCGGTTACCCGTCTCGTCGCTGAGGCGGCGTCAGTCGCTAACGCTGCTGGCCAGCCTGGCAAATCGTCAGGGATCGTGAACCGACGGCTGCACCAGCTTCAAGGTCACTCTCAGGACAAGCAGAGACGCCCGCAGGACCACGCAGCGGCTACCGACTCGCCGCCACCTCGGCCTCCCTTGGCACCCAGCATCGAGCGACGAGAGCCGTCAGACGCTCCCTCTCCGGCAGCATCCAGCATCGTCAAGAGGCGCGACCCTGCTTCGACCAAGCGCATCGCACCAATCGACGCCACGATCCATGCCACCGCCAGACGCAGGGCGGCCTCGGCCCGGCCCAGTACTTCGAGTCAGAGTGATGGTCCCGCTTCGACGACGTCCGGACAGCGCAAGCAACGCAGCGCGACGGCTAAGACAGCTGGGTCTCCTTCATACGGAGGACATGCCCCGTCAAATCAAGGGAGCGGCCAGCAGGTCGAGGCCGCCATCGTGGCTGACGGCGCTAAGGATCTGTCAGAGGCCTCGACCGACACCTCCTCTGGCGTCACCGCCAACCGTGCATCGCCCGTCGCTGGAAGCTCCTCGATCCTCGATCGGTTCAAGTCGCAGCTGCTCGGATCGCTCGAACAGCAATCCAAAAGACAGCATGAGCCGCGGCCGGAACACGAAGAAGAATCCGACAGAGAGTACAAGGAATTGGTCGGCATGGTCAACAGGGAAATGGGAGAGGCTCATGAGCGGATGGCATCTGCCTCTGAGGCAGACAATCCGTTGTGGACCGTCTCGCCAACACGCCCGACTCTCGACGAGATCCAGAATGCCGCCAAGGATGGCTTCGCCAGTCAGTACAAGTCCAGCACCGCCTGGGACCCCCAGAAGGACTATGCCATGATCCCCAATGGTCCGGAGGTCGTGTCCGAGACGGAGCAGGTCCTTCGCAAAGACGTGAGTCGAACCGGTCCGACAGGGCCTACCCTTCGAAGCTCAGGCCGTCGATTCTCGGCACTGACTTGATCGGGTCCCTTCCCCCATTGGTTCCGCGCTCCTCGCAGCGCAAGCACATCACGATGATCATCGATGGAGACAACCTCAAGTTCCAGCCTCGGCACATGCGCCTCGGTCACAAAGGAGGTGAGTGTCTCCATCGGCCGGCTCCGATGCGTGAGTCGCCGCTCTTGGCTGATCCAAGGTTGCTTCATCGCCACGCTACGTCTTCCCTTTACGCCCCTCCAGGCGTGTTTGCCTACAACGAGCTCAAGCGGCTCGTTGCCCGGAAGCACTCCCTCAACCCAGACACGCTCGACCTGCGCCTCCGCATCTTCGCCGTGTACCCCTGGCTGGTCAAGTTTCTCGAGCGCGCGGGACTCGTCGCGCGCTTCGTCGCCATGGAGTTTTTCGAGGGACTCGCCGATGCCAACCCGCACAACTACATCGTCAATGTGCGCAAAGACGAGCAGGCCGCCGACAAGCGCGTCAAGGTGGCGCTGGCCGATGCCGTCAGGGACCCAGACTGCTTCCGCGTCTACCTCGGAGGGATCGACGACTTTGGCTACATGCCCGATCTGCGGACGCTGTACGACTTTAAATACCTGCCGGGCAAGGTGCACCTGATCCAGGTGCCCAGCCACGCGGCCAAATCGCGCATCTACAAGGAGATGGCGGCTAGCATGGTGGATCTCGACTACATCTTTCTCGGCCCGTCGAGTAACGCAGCCATCCAGCGTTTGGCTGACAAGGTAAGTGTGGCGGGTGGAGCGGGCCGATCTGAGCCTCGCGCACGGCCCTGCTTGCGCTGCGGGTTCGGCGGCCGGGTCTGGCCCTTGCAGTGGTCTCTCTTCGGGCGGCGACGGTGCTGACGGCCTTATCCCTCGTTCTTGAATTGCTGCACGGTACAGGACCAGGTGCTGAGGGCGGCCTCAACATTCAAGGAGCACGACGTCCCCTGCGCCTACCATCACCTTAGCAAAACGGGCTGCCTCCACGAGGCCTGCGGCTTCAGCCACAAACCGATCTCGCAGGAGCAAAAGGAAGAAATGCGGCGCTACCTCAAGCAGCGTAGATGCAGCCACGTCGCGCGCGGCGAGGTGTGCAAGTACGGTGACGACTGCTTGTTTGGGTGAGTGACGGGTGGCGGCCGGCGGGCGCGTACGCCCCTCAGCTGAGCCCGCCTGCTCCCCGTGCTGGCGGAAAGAAGTGGCATTGCGCTGACACGCTGCCCCCTGCTGCGACTCGTCGGCGATGCACAGGCATTGATCCTCACCGCCGGTGTCCTGGGGTGCCGGAAGCACAACTTTCCCATGTACAGTACGAGTGACCTGATAGAGATCTGCAACCGCATCGGTGTAGGATGTAGAAGACAGCGAAGTGGCGGACGACGATGAGCAGCGCTGGCGGCATGGGCAGGCCAGGCCTGGCCGGGATTTGCAGGCCTGGCCTGGGCTGGTGCGCTCTACGCGACGCGTGCGCGTGGAGGGATGCATGAAACGGGCTTCGAAGTGGCAGATGGACAGATTCCAAGAAGGACGCCTTGGCTTGCACCCTAGCCTTTGTTGCTTGCTCGACCCCACCACCACCAACACCACCACCACCACCACCACCATCGACACCAACACCACCATCACCACCAACACCACCCTCGTCCGCACAGAGGCACGCAGCACACCCTCGACCTCACACGATGAAGATACCGCTGCACCTCGACCTACCTTGCCTCTCTCCAGGCACGGCCAGTTCTGCAGAGCAGGAAGGGAGGGACACGACAAACGTGCCGCCGCCGCTGCTAGAGCTGACTCCGACCGGCGAGCTGGTTCTGGTGGAACTGCAGGGATCGCTCGAAATCACCGGCGGCGGCGGCGGTGGCAGCGCCGATGCGATCGAGGGCGACGGTGTTCGGGGAGATGGAGGAGCGGGGAGGGCGGGGGAGGTGCTGGGCAAGTTTGTCTTTGAAGATGGAAGATTGGTACGTACGGCTCCCTCGCCTTCGCGTTCGGCACCCCTCTGAACCATCTCGCTAATAGCTCTTCACTTGCCACTTGCAACCGCTCTTTCCTCGCGCCACGCCCCGCCCCGACGACCCACCCAACCAGGATCGACCGACGCTATTGATAAGCCACCACCGACTCGAGGGCAAGTTCGTGTCGCTGCAGAACCCGCTCGCCGTGCTCCGTAAAGTGACGGCGGCCTCGGCGGCCTCGGCGGCAACCGCTGCGCAAGTCGACGACGAGGAAGGAGACGGACGACAGCACAAGAAGCCAAAAGTCGATGACGATGACGGCGCGGGCGCATCGACGAGGTACGACATCGTCACCATTGTCCGACGCAAGCTGCTTTTCAGCAAGCGGCCGGAGCCCGTCGTCCGTATTGAGGACCGATGAACGCCCACTCGACGAGGAGAGGTGGTTGAGGAGGGATCCACTTGTATTTGTACCGGCACAACAACCGCACCAACACAGCACGACACGGCACGGCACGGCATGGCACAGCACAACATGATTCCCGCAACCGCACAGCAGGGCTGTGTTCTGTCCGTCACATCGCCCACCGCGACAAGACGAGCAGCATCCCAAGCGTCCAGCCCGACGCGTCCGCCCCTGCGGCTCTACTGCCCGCGGTACCTCTCGTCCTCCCACTTGCGCCAGAGATTCTTGAAGAGCGTCTTACCCGCGCTGTCGAGGAGGCCGACCATGGCCGCGTCGCGCTCGTGCTTGCCCACGACGCCGCAGAGGGCGAGGAGGCCCGGCTGCACCTCGGCGCGCACGTCGGTCGGCAGCGTGCTGGCCGGGTTGGTGACGGCGTTGAGGTAGGCCACGACGACGTAGACGGCGTGCTTGGAAAACGGCTTCGACAGCGACTCGGCCTTGCGCTCCCGCTTGCGGCGCGCCGACTCGCCCGCGTCGCCGCCGGGGCGGCGGTCGTGGTGATGGTGCGGGAGCAGCGAAGACGTCTTGAGCGTCAGGCTCGTCAGGAGGCGCGAGTACTGTCGCGCCTCGACGTCGGCGCGCAGAGGCAGGGTGTGGGCCGGATCGAACCACGCCGGAAGGTCGCGGCGCAGGTAGCGCGTCGCTGCCACCGAGGCTGCACCTCCTGCCTGCCCATTCGACGACGATGCGCCCAATGCCTTGGCGGTGCTGCCAACGACGAGCTTGGGACGGCGGAAGAGGTTCGCCAGCGACGAGAGCAGCGACGCGACAAGCGAGAGGAACGAGTGGATGAGGTCCGGACGCAATCGGATCAGGCTCGTCAGCGTCGACACCTGCGCCGAAAAGATGCGCCGACCCACGTGCGCCGGGGCCGCCAAGGTGGCCGGCGAGGGCAGGTCGGCGTTGCTCGGGACGAGCAGGGACGTGTAGAGCTGCAGGATCAGCTCGACGTCCGTCGACCGCAGCAGCGTCGCCTTCTTGGCGCAGATCGAGACGATCACCTCGGCCATGGCTTGTATGACGACCGGAGACGACGCCGACGACGACGCCGACGACGAGGGAACGCTGCACAGCTTGATGAAGAAGCTCAACAGCTTCGTCAGATGCAGACGCGCAGCGCGGTGTCCGCCCTCCGGAGCGCTCTGCAGGGACAGGCCGGCTGCGACGACGAGGCAGGCCCGTCCGCGCGCCGGGCCGTCGACACCGCCGGCGGTGCCGGTGCCGTTCTGTAGCTCGACCCGGTCGGCCGTGACGACCTGTAGCAGCTCCGAGAGGTAGCGGCCGTAGACGTCGACGGAGAGGCGCGAGACGATGCGCGCCAGTACGGGCGAGAGGGCGTCGACCAGCTCGCCGCGCTCGAAGCACGAGGCAAACGAGGCAAACGCCACCGCCGCCTTGAGCGCCGCCGAGGCGTCGTCATCGTCGTGGCCGGTGCCGACAGGAGCAGCAGCCTCTTCCATTGTCACGTCATCGTCGTCGTCATCGCCGCCACCGGCGGACACGGTTGGCGTCGAGGAGCAGTCGGCGAGCAGCTGCAGCGTCTCGGCGCAGACGCGCAGGGCCGTCTTGAGCAGAGCTCTGTCGCTTGATGCAGCGTCTCCTTCGAAGGAAGCAGTTGCCCGCCCCACGACGGCGCAGATGGGCTGCAGAAGGTCGAGGACCTGCACCTTGGCACTGGACCTCGGGGTCTGGCCACCAGTCGCGGCGGTGGGACCATTTGGGCAGGCATCTGCAAGCGCCAGGGAGAGGCGGGTCTGTCGGAGGTGGAACACGACGTCCCGAAGATCGTCGAGGCTGACGGCGACGACGGCCTGCGCCCACACCGCAGTCTTGACGGCGTCGAAGTGCGACTCGATCTGCTTTGCGATGGGCTGCGAAGATGTCAGGACCGCTAGGAAGGCTTCAACCTTGTCGGTGTGGGCGAGCAGCTTGGCATCGGCTACGAGGCCTGCGATCAGGGCTTGGTCTGCGCGGGCAGCCAGATCGGGTCGGGCCTCTGCGATCGAACCGAGGCCCGAGACGAGGTGGTGGTGCAGAGCCAACAGGTTGTCCCAGGCGGCCGGGTTGGTCTTGCAGCTCTCGAGCAGGTTCTGCGCCCCGACCTCGAACGCGGTCAGCGAAACGTCGTCGAGTTGCGGATGGACACCGCCGTCACCGACACCGTCATCGCTCGCGGTGACAAAGAGGGCCAGCGACGCGACCATCTGCTCTGATGCGGCGTCGGAACTGGCACCGCGCGCCAGCATGAGGCCGCCGATCAGACGCCGCAGGTTGGTCCTGTGCTCGGTCGAGGCGGATTGCCGCTTGCCGCGAGCCAGGATAGCGTCCATCGTGAGGCCGCGCTCCAGCAGCGTCTCTCGGCTCGACTTGGAGATCCACTCGACGGGGAAACGCTCCATGGCGCAGAGCGTCAACAGCGCCTCTTGGAGCTCGACCGAGCTCTTGATCGTCGCTTCCAGCTGCACGGTCGCCAGGGTCGGTCGAAGCCCGGCGTAGTCCGACTGGGCGAGGATCTGCGTCTTGGTGTTGGCGATGGCGAGCAGAGTCGACCTCCATCGTGGCAGCTCGAGGAAGTGGGCGTTGCGCAGCGCCTTGCGCGAGATGCCGGCGAGGAGCGAGGTGGTCGGGTCCAGCACCACCGAGGCCAGCAGCACCTGCGCCAGCTCCGAAAGCAGGGGGCCGGAGCCTAGCTGGTCGATCAGCTCGGCCCAGCGCGTCGTCAGCTTCAGCCAGAGGGCCGATGCGAGCGACGACACGCCGTCGATGCCGGTCGCCTTGCCGTTCCACGGGGTGATGATCTCCCTCGAGCCCGAAGAGACGAGGTCGTCCTTGATCAGCGGCACAAGCGACCGCACGAGCGGGCTGCCTTCCTCGTCCGAGAGTAGCGCCGTGTAGGGAGAAGTCGTGCCGAGCGTGGCATGGTCGCGTTCGGCCCGCTGCAGCAACGCGCGGACGATCTCGTAGATGGCCTCGTCGGCGATGCGGTCGCGGCCAGCGCTCTTCGAGATGAGCTCGACCAGCCGCTGCCGCCTCTGGTCCAGCGAGTCGTCCAGCACCGGTAGCGACTCGGAGACGGGCGACCCGTCGAGTCGAATCGGTTCGTCGAAGTTGATGCGCCAGTTTTGCGACAGCAGCGACGACCTCGCCCGCAGTGCCGCCGCAAGCGTCCCTTCGCTTTTCCGACTCAGACTCAGGTCGATCGAAGGTAGGATCGCCTCGAGGTAGAGGCGCTCTGCGGCTGCGATGGCGTCGTCGCGGATGGGCGACGGGATCTGCACCTGCGAAGCTGCGAGCGTGAGTGCCTGCAGCGCCAGCCTCAGTTGCTGCAATGCCGTCTCGCCGCTGCCTCCCGCCGCCGCACTGCCGGCATCGCTACCAGCCGCGCCGCTGTCCGACTTTCTCTTCTTGTTGGGTCGAGGCGAAGCCGTCCGCTGCTCCTCGGTGTCCAAGCTCTTGACGATTTCGGACGTCCTTTCGCGCAGCATGTCGAGCAGCGGGACGAGATGCATCGGGGTGAGAAAGTCCCGCACGGCGGCGGCGCAACCAGCGGCCGATACTGCAGAGAGCAGCACTCCGTTTTCGACGTCCCTCATCGAGGCCGTCGACGAGTGCGGCAACTGTACGAGAGCCTCGTAGAAGCTGGTGACGAAGCGGAGGACGTCTCGAGCCCGCGAGTAGCTGGAGCGTGCCGTCCCGAGGAACGAAAGCGCAGCGCTCGCCTCGGCGCTGAAGACCTCTTCTCCGTCCCACGCGGGTGTCTCGACAGGGACCACGGCCACCTCGCGCAGGATTGGCGTGAGGTAGGGCTCGACGACTGGCTGCTCGAGCCTCCACAGTGTTTGAAGGCTGTCGAACGCCCTTTCACATGTGGTGCTGTCACTTGCCCGAGAGCGGTCGCCGTGGTGCCGCTGGCGCAGATCGTCGATGGCGTCGGCGAGGAAGCCCTGGAAGAAGGAATCCCAGTCTTCTGCCTCCGGACTTCCGGGGACGTAGAGATCGAGCAACTCAATAGCCGCCAGGAGGTGTGCTCGCGCCGGAGCCAAGGCGGCATGGTGCGCGGCCTTGACGGCAGACTTCTGCATGAGCGCCTCGACAGGGCGAAGGAAGCGTTTGAGCAGGATGGACCGGATGGTGGCCTCCTGAGCCTGCATCGAGGCTGCGACCGACATGACGCTGTAGCTGGTGCTGGCCGCGGGGGCCAAGAGTCCAGATGCCTCCTTTCGCAGCCTCGCTGTGAGCAGCTGGACGAGGACGGGCAGGCTCGACAGGGTGGCCTCGGCCAGCGCGTCGTCCTCCGAGGCTGCCAGCGAACGGATCGGACCGAGGAGCGCGTCGTCGGCCTTGCTGCTGGCCTCCTTGAGGGCGGGGTGCATGGCGCGGTCCGCATATTCGCCGACGAAGGCGAGCAGCACGTCGCTGGTGAACAGCGAGGCGGCACCAATCTGTTCGAGCGAGGCCAGCAAGCCGGCCGGCAGACTCGCCTCGCGCCTCCTGACCGCGCTGAGGGCGACGAAGTAGGTGGAGAGGCAGTTGGCCAGAAAGTAGCGGCCGTTTTTGCGGGCGTTGAGGCCGAACTCTAGCGCGACCGACCAGCTCTCGACGAGAGCGTGCAGCACCGTCGTGGCCAGGTCCCAGCCGCTGGCGGCGTCGAGGAGGGGAAGGGCGGCCAGCCAGGCGTGTATCGCCTCGGTGACGTTTTCGATGTTGGCCGCGGCGCTCCTCGAGGCGGCGGGGGGCAGGAGCGTGCGGAGGGCCTCGGCAGCAGATACCGTGAGCGCCTGGTTGGAGCTGTGCTGCGGGTGCTGTGCCAGCGAGCGAGCGAACGACGAGGCGAGGAGGACGACGGGGTAGGCGGACACGAGGCTGTTGACCCACTGCGAAGCTGCTGCGCGCGTGGTTCCCGGCGCGTTGACCTGGGAGACGACGACCTCGTGGAGCAGCGCCCAGTAGTCTGCGTCTAGCTCGCAGGCAAGCTCAGAGCCGGTGCCGCTGCCGTTGGTGGAAGGTCTTGCCTTTGCCTTGCCCTTGGCCTTTGCCGCGCCGTTCTGTGCGGCGGGGGCATGGTGCGACTTGGCGGAGCGGCAGAGGGTGTCGAGGATCCACTCTGCGAGCAGCTGGTGCTTCTTGGGCACGAATACGGCGTCTGTGGACCAGGCGGCGCGGGCCAGCTGGATCTTTGTGATGGCGATCCCGGCGGCGGCGGTGGCGGTGGTGGACGAGGTGGAAGGGGCCGTGGCCGAGGGCGGCTGGGCTGCCTTGAGCGCCTTTACCAGCTGCTCCGAGGTGGAGATGCCGGCCCTCTCGAGTAGGTCCATGTTTGTCGAGCGGCCGGGTGACGGGAGCGGGCGAAAAAGGAGTCTGTGAGAGGATGGTGTCACGAAGTGGTGAGCAGGAGGTCCGGGGCCCTCCCCACCACGGCTGCCGGACGTTCTTCTCAAAAAACTGCGGCCGTCCAAAAATATTCGGCCTGCGGGCGAGGCGAGGTCAGACACCCGACTCAGAAGTAGTGTGGCAGGCCCTCAGGCTCTTCTCGTGCGGCAGGCAGAGGTCAGAGGCGAACAAAGAAGCGTCCCCAGCCAGACCGGCCTTCTCGCGCTCGCCATCAGCCAATCCATCTTTCACCGCTCACCCTATCTGGCCCATCCTTCACCTCGGCACACGCTCGCCACGCACTCGGCACAGCACACACAATGTCGCTTCGTCACATCAGTCAATCGCTCCTCCGCAGCAGCGGCAGCAGTGGCAGCAGCGGCAGCACCATGCTGCGCACCGCCACCTCTGCCGTCGCCGCACCGACAACGGCGCACCGACACTGCTCGACGCTCATCAACAAGGCCACCAACCTCTCCAAGCCCGCCGCCGCATCACCAGCAAGGTCGACCGCGACCACGGCGACTGCCGCGCTGGCGTCGCAGCAGGAACAGGTGCGCGGCATGAAGGTGCGCTCGTCGGTCAAGAAGTTCTGCGATGGCTGCTCCGTCGTCCGCAGAAAGGGCAGGCTGTATGTCATCTGCAGCCGCGACCCCAAGCACAAGCAGGTACGTTGGCCACGTCCACGCCAGCTCAGCCCGGCCCGGCCCGGCCCCTTTCCTCTCTAGGCAGCCCCCCAGCCGCCCTCTCTCGACGCGATGCACCGTGCTGAACATACCTTCTCGGGCTTTGTTCCTGCTCCAACCCCTTCCGCGATGTCGCAGAGGCAGGGATAGACCGTCGTCTCTGCGAGAACCGGCTCTCATGGACCCAAGACCAGGCCTGGCCTCCCATCAAACCGACTGCCACACCCGACCTCATACGACATTCAGCGAATCCCTCCTTCCGAATCGCTCCCACTGGCCGACCGGCTGCCCCCCTCTATCTGTACTTTTAGACCGCTTTCCAACCCCCCTACCTCAACACAGCCCGCAAGGCTTCCCTCCCAGCCTGGCGAAACGGCCAACAATCGATAGACACCACGCACGGGACAGACCGTTCGCATGCCACTCGTCTCGACCCTTGACACAAGCTCTGATGATTCCTGGCCCGACCGGGGTCTCGCATCACGCTACAGCCTCAGCAGCCGCCTTTTCCTCGCTCTCAATCTCCGCCAGCTCCTCCCGGACCCCGACCAACCGGGCATCGACGCCCTGTAGCCTCTCCTTGAGCTTGGCCTCGTACTCTTGGTCCGACACGCTCCGCACCGGCGAGAGACTCTTGAGCGATTCCAGCCAGCTCCCTCCTCGTCCTGTCGTCTTCTTGGGCGCCGTCGTCGTCGTTGCAGGGATCGCGTCCTCCGCCGACGCCGCCGTCGCTGTTCCTGCTGCAGTGTGCGCCTGGCCTTGTTCAGAGGCACCATCTCGAGCGAATTCCATCGCCGTCGTCGTCGTCCGCCCCGGGCCAGGTTGTTCGGATACCGTCGTGGCACCGCCCGTCGGTGTTTGGGGAGGCCCAGTCAGGGCGACTTGCGTGGGCGGCGGGGTGGCCTGTCGCATCAGCAGCTGCCCCTTGGCGTACCTCAGCTCGTTGCCAGCAAACTGCAGGCTCGTGCACGCCAGCCCAAACATGATGATGCCAGACGGGATGGATTGGCGTCCGCCTGGAGGCCACAGAGGAGATAGAGCAAGGACGATCCCGTCGGAATCAGTATCGGTCATCGACCCTGCAACAAAGTCGCGTGCGCGCACGGAAAACCGAGACTTACGTGCGTAGCCGGCCAAGGTGCCACCAACGATGGCTCCCGAGATGCCGCTCGACGCCAGGTCGCGCGTGTGCGGATTGTGCCGCGGCCGCACATAGGCGTGCTGCGCGGTCGGGTGCTCGTACTTTTTCTCGTGGGCCATGACCGAAAGCGTCGGGTTGATGGCGTACTCCCGGATCGCTGGCGCCGCAGAAACAGAGGAGCAAAGAAAAGACGATGGAGCGTCAACAGAAGCTCCTGTAGCTCGCTCGTCCAGCGTACCTGACGGCTTGACCCTTCACTTGTGCATGCGCCCACTCACCAAAGAAGGGGAACCCAAACGCAAACATGTTGAAGGCCATCCTGCTGCCCAGCACCGTGGGCGCTCCAGTCTGGCCGCGAACAGCTCCATAGACGGATCCCGAGACGGCCCCCACCAGGGCTGGTGCATGGAGAGAGATACGAGCGAAGCGAATGGATGATGTCGAGGGGTGGGAGCGAGGGAAGACGGCAGTAGCGAGCAAGGTCGAGTCAAGGGCGAGATCAGAGATGAGGACGAGGTGAAACGAGGTTGGGGTCAGGTCGAGGCCGCGAGATGGGGTGCTGGTCCGGTTGCGCGGGTCTTGCTCCAAGATGCAGCTGCAGCGAGCGAGGTGCTTGGTCACGCGGTCCAGAGCTGGGGGAAGCGGAACGTACCGGCAAGGAGCGAGCCCTTGGCCACCTTCATGGGAGCGTCCGAGTCGACCTCGAATCCCCTGAGAGCGCTGATGGATTCCTCGTCGACCGAGTTGATGCCGTAGCTGCGCCGATTGGCGGCTCCTCCTCCGTAGGAAGCCCCGCCACTGCTCGAAGTGTCCTGGACAAACTCGGCCGAGCCCCAGCCGTCGAGCTGATCACCACCGGGCTGCCTCTTGGAAGGCGCCTGCGGGGATGTCGAAGACCACCGCGGGTCGCTGTCGGTGTTGGCGCCCGGAAAGGTCGAGAAGCTGCCAGAGGCTTGCGGGAAGCGGTCGTCCGACGAGCCACCAGCCTGGTCGACGGCCGACGGCGAGGGCGAGGGGGACGAGGCACTGCCGGTGGCGGCGGCGTTTCGCCGGTTGTAGGCGTTGCGGGCGTTTTCCTGGCGGATCTTGTCCCACTTGCTTGGCTCGACGCCCCTCTCGCCACGGAGCTGGGCCCACCTGCTGGCTGACGCGCCGCCCTCGTCGGGACCGCCTGAGCCAGAGTCAAAGAAGTCGAACGTTGCCTCCCTCGGGGTCTGCTCGCTTGCGGCAGCCGGCGGGGAGGGCGTGAATCTGGGTTGGCCGTCACCCCGTGGCTGAGCGGGTGCGCCTCCCTGAGCAGCCTGGCCCCACTGCTGCTCTCCGTCCATGCCCTGGGGCGGGCCGATTCGGACGTTTGGAGCGCCGCCGCGCCTCTTTTCCTCTACGACGTCTGCGAGGACCTTTTTGAGGTGCTGCGGGTCCTCTACGGTGTCGACGATGCCCTTGCTCATGACGACGCCGAGGGGCATGAGGAGGAACGAGGTGCCGAGGCCGCCGATGAAGCTGAGTCCGGCCAGCTGGAGGTTCGAGGGTCTGGGCTTGCGGCGGGAGAGAAGGAACCAGGAGCCGGCGCCGCCGATGATCCAGCCTGCCGTCTTTGAGCGGTCGACGTTGCGCTTGATGGTGCGCAGGGCCTCTGCCTCCCTTGGGGTGAGCTGCATCTGTGCGCGGGTGCCTGCGAGGCCGGCGGGCAGCTTGCCACCGGGGGCAGATGCGGGTTGGCCATCGCCGCCGCCGCGGCCGACGCCGCCCTGCGGCTGCTGGAAGGGCGAGTCCATAGCAGGCGTGGGCTGGGGGATGCGTTGGCGAGTGTGTCGTGCCGCGTGCGAGCGAGCGGAATGGGAGCGAGTTGAGTTGAGGTGCGAGTTTGCCGCAGAGGATCGCGTCGGGATCAAGGAGAAGGTGGCGGTGGAAAGGCTAGGCTGAGTTGGGGATGGATGAGGCGCGGACGACAGGGAAGGCGGGGCAGGCAGGCGGGCGGTGTTGGATCAGCAGACAGGCAGACGAAGAGCGGCCACGACGGATGTGGAGCAGCAAGCCGAGGCTAGGACAGACGAAGAAAAGCCAAGCCAGGGGCACACAGACCAGCCAACCCGGCCCCACCGGCTCGGATCCGACGCACGCATGCAAGCTTGCGTTGCGTTGGTGGGTCAGTCGGTCGGATTCTTGCTTGTCGGCCTCGGCCTCAGCCTGCCTCAGCCTCAGCCTGGACCCTGAGGCCTCGGTTGGGTCCGTAGTGACGGCAAGACGCCGGCGGGGCGGGCGCGACAGCTGCCAGCCAGGCCAGGCCAGGACGAGCATGTATTGCTGCGTGAATCAGCGTCTGACGTCGCCCGACCAAACAGCTCGCTGCGCTGCTGTCTTCGAGAGATGCCATGCCATGCTGCTGCCTCGCTCTTGGCCCGTCGATCTTCAACATGCAGACGAGCAAAGCGTACACAGGCCGGTAACTTAGCAAGGGCACCGAACCGCAACCCCAGGCCATCCTGGGCCGAGATCGACAGCCAGAAGGCGGCACGATGAAATCACGACGACGACGTCCTCGTCAAGCTTCTCCGTGCGGCGTGGTCGATGCTCCACTGGACCAAGGGCGGGCGGTATATAACCCCCCCTTCCTCCCAGTCGCTCGACATCCAACTACACCATCGTCGCCATCTCTCATTCTCCTTCATACCGCCCGCTCGCCATTCTGCAACCCGTCGCCTCTCAAAATGTCCGGCCAGACCACCGACCAGTCCTTCAAGAAGACGCACCAGACCGTCGGCGCAAACGGCAACGACGTCGTCGACAATCTCAATGAACACATCATGAAGACCGCTCCGGGACACGACGGCGTGAGTCCGTGCTGCTGCTGCTGCTGCCTTCCTGGCCTTGTTCCTTGACCCCCCCTCGCCCCCACCCGCCGTGCCCAACGCGGCCAGTCTCGCTGATACGTACGTCTACACGTCTGCACCTTTCATCTGTGGCGGATCTCAAGAACGTCGCCGCCGAGGAAAAGGGCGAGCTCCGTCCCCGCAGCGAGCGCATCGAGAGGGACCTCCGCGAAAAGGGTTACACCACCAAGAGCTCCGACCAGGAAATGGAGGAGCACGATGAGCTCAAGCAGAAGCTCGACAAGCGTGAGTAGGCCCGCCCACTTGGCCCCAACGTTCATTGACCTCCTGCCTTCACACCTTGAAGCTGACATCCATCGTCGTCTTCCACTCTTCGATCTCTTTCCCCTCGCGCATCCAGGGGGAAACCCGGCCCAATGATCGTACCCGCGCACGCACCCCTCTACTGCGACGCCGCTCCAAATCCAGCCTCGTCCACTGTATCACTAGGTCCATTCCTGCACGTCGTCCACCCTCGTGATTCAAATTATCCGTACCAGACCAGACCATTTCTGTGACAGAGAGCTTGAAAGCTGGGCGTCATGCGACCGCTCACGACTGCCTCGAGCCGAAAAAGCTGAGCGCCTTGGTGATGCTCTCGATGGCCGAGTCGCCCGTGGCAGGCGCCGCCTTGGTCGGGCCCAGCACCCTCGTAGTCTTGAGCGCCTCGCCCTTGACGGCGGGGGCGGTGGCGGTGGCGGCTGCGGCCGTCGTCGGCGCGACTTCGCCGCCGTTGGGCGCTGCGACTCCGTTGCTGCCGGCCTTCTTTGCCTCAGCTCCAGCGACGCCATTCGATACCGCCGTCGATCCCACCTGCAGCGGCCGGCCCAGACCGAGCTGTGCAACGGCATCTCTGCGCTCGGCCGCAGCGCCACCGACCACACCGTCACCACCGTCGGCCAGCGGCGACGGCTTTGACGGCGTCGAGATGAGCGAGATCTCGTTGCGGCCGACGTGCCGCCTGCGCGTCGACGAGCTCGCCGGCGGCGCGGCCGAGACGGTGACAATCAGGTTCTTGAGGTTGGGCAGCGTGTGGCGGATATCGAGCACCGTGACGTTGTGTACGTTCATCATCTGCTCAATGTCCTTGTTGAGCAGGAACGCGGCGTACTCGTACCGGTAGCGCTCCACGCCCTTCGAGTAGAGCGGAAACGCCCGCGGCCCGCTCATGATGCTGATGCCGTCCTGCACCACGGCGCGGCTCCCCGCCGTGGCCATCGGGTAGTGGACCGGCGTGCCCAGGTAGGTGCTGAGCAGCGTCATCAGCTGCGCCACCAGGCCTAGCGCGGTGCTGATTGTGTCGTCGTCGAGCGGATGGTAGATGAGCTTCCGCGAGCCCTCAGACGATTCGCCCTCATCGGCTTTGTTCCTGGCCTTGATCAGCGCCTTCAAAGCCTTGTCCTGCGCCTCGAGCTCCGAGCTCGAGCAGCTCGACACGCCATTGGGCAGCGGGATGCCTGCGATCGAGAAGAGCAGCGCGGAGCCGTCGACCAGGTCGATGGGGTAAATGTCCTCGAGGCTTCGCAGCAGCTTCGCCTGCCGCTGGTGGATGCGGAGCGACAGCGCCTCGGTCCGCCTCCTCAGCTTGGCGTTGCTCGTGGTGAGGCGATCGGCCGCTCTTCTTTCTTCGTCCAATGCCGCGGCCGCCTCTTTGAGCCTCTGCCTCCGCATCTGCAGGTCGTTGCGTCGCTGCAGCAGCTTTTCCTCGCGCTCCGCGAGGTCCCGGCGCTCGCGGTCACGCTCCTCGATCAAACGCCGCAGCCTCTCGGAGACTTCGCCGTGCTGCAGGCGCAGGTTGATCCTGCCCTGCGGGTCGCCGAGGACGTCATCGAGACTCTTGCGGGTCTGAGAGGTCTGTGCCTTGAGCTCGGCGAGCTCCGCTTGCTTTGCGAGGAGCGCCCGAGCATCGTCGAGCGTGTAGCTCGGCATCATCCGCGTCTCGCGCAGACTCCTCTCGATTGCGAGCTTTTCCTCGGACTTGAAGATGCTCCGCCGGTCGCGGGCCGGTACCCGCCGTGCCTCGTCGGTGGCTGCATGCGTCTTGCTGACATCAAAGCTGGGGGCTTCAGGATCCGACGCGAATCCATCCGTCGCCGGGCGCTGATCGAATTGCGAGGCCGCCATGCCGGACGTGGTTCTCAAAGTTGCTCGGCTGGCGGTCGACTTGCCCACGGCACCATCCAGGGGTACTGCAAAGTAGACGACTTGTTCGAGAAGCCGCCGTGCGCGCGAGGGCTGCGACTGGGAGGCATCGTTGTGTTTGCCGGCGAGCTGCGCTGCGACGGCGGCGGGATCAGCGTCAGCTCTGGTCGCCGCACCTCCGTCGTCAGCATCGCCCTCGCTCTGGGCTGCAAGACTCGACATCAGGCCGAGCACCATCATGTTGGGAGACGTGACCAGCCGAGGATCGGTCAAGTCGCCGTCGAGCCTTTGCAGCTCTCGCAGGTCTACGTCCCGAGAGCTGATCAGCTTCCAGTCGAGCTTGGTGTCCAGGCTCCTTTTCGCATCTGGCGGCGACGTCTCCCTTTTGGCCCAGACTCTGGCCCGCAGGCAGCTTGTTGCGGGGCCCGGGGAGGATCCCGATGTCGCGGATTGGGGAAAGTGAAAGTCGCGCGTGGGGCAGAGCGGATCCCCCCGTAGCGAGCCCCAGGAGTGGTGCAGACCTCCGCGCAAGCTCTCGGCGGTGAAGAAGGCGGCTGGTCCCCGACTGCCGTCCTTGAGCTCTACTGCGTCCTGCGCGCTCCATGGATCGCACAGCTCGACGCAGCAGCCAAGTAGCCGCTCGTCCATGATCTGATCCAGGGCCTTGTCACCGCCAAGAAAGCGCGAGGAGCTGCCCATAGTGAAGCGGCTGCCACCGGGGGTGCTGGGCCTGCGAATCAGGGTCGAGTGGACATTCTGCTCCTCGAAGCGCACGCTTCGTACGCTCAGGGTCGACGTTCCGCTGGTCGTGCGTGGCCTGGTCCCTGGCCTGCGCATCAAGGTGGCCGAGGACTTGGAGGAGCTGCGAGAGTCGGAGCGGGATAAAAGATCGGATCCCATCTCGCCGAATGGAAAGGATGAAGAGGCAGAGGGTGAAAGGTCGGAGAAGTAGCTGAAGGCAGCGCCATGGTTGTCCTTGCTGCTGTGGGACGTCTTGAGTATGGGCCGGGGAGGTTGGCTGGCGGTCGATAGCTCTTCGCTGGTCCGCCGCGGCCGGCTCGCGAGATGGGATGCGGCATGTCCATCCGTGGATGCGCCGCGCCGGTCGTTGCTCGAGGTCGAGCGGCGATGCCTGGTGACGGTCTCTTCGTGGTCGCTGCCGCCTGCTGTGTTGTCGTCGCGGGACCAGCTTGAGCTCCTCCTGCGGATGGCCTTCGCCCTAGCCTTGCCCTTGCTGTTAGACCTGCCGATGCGCAGGGCGAGGTCGGCATCATCGGCGCTGGTGGTGGCATTGCTGGCGAGGTGTCCGGGCTGCGAGGTAAGGTTGGCCAGGGACCGGAGTGCGCGGTCGCGATTAGGGCGAAGGGTGAGGTTTCGGATGAGGATGGAGCAGATCTGGCCGATGCGGAGCTGTTCGTAGTGGATCGCATCCGAAGGCGCAGCCAGGTGCGTCGCAGTGCCACCGCTCGAGAATGAGGCCGATGGCATGGCGGCGGTGGATTGATGCGGGCGTAGCGCTGTCGCTGGGTCGATGCCCGGTCTGGCCCGCTGCAGCTAGCTGGTCTTGTCGGTTCTCGGTAATGGGCGAGTGGCCATGATCCCGTGCGCCAGATGCTGAGGCGGATAGATGGCAGGGGCGAGACCCGCTGGTTCGATGAGCTCTTGGATGGGCGTAGGGTGTCGGATCGGCCGTCGAGCGCCGGAGCAAAAGGTGAGGGAGCTGGGCGGAAGAGCCGATGTGATGGTGTTGATGCGAGAGGGAGCGGGCGATGTCGCCCGAGCGGCCTCGGCCTCGGCCTCGGCCTCGGCGCGAAGAGAGGGACGTGTGGAGAAGCGCACGGTGCAGCCCACAGAGATGGCCCCTGTCCAGCCGGCTCTCTCTTCCCCCCGGGACTCGGCATTGGACTTCGGGCATTGGCGAGCCACCGCCCAACTTGCGGCCAGGCCGTGGCCGAGACGCGGGATGCCCGTCACCGAGGCACAGGCAAGCCCACAAGCCACAGGCCCACAAGCAAGCAGGGCCGAGGTGTCCGTCAAGCCGGACGTTTGCGCACGAGGACCATGTCGGCGTCGTCTGCCCAGCGGAGTGGCCAGCTGCGAACAAAGACAGGCCACGAGCGGACGATCCGACCGACCGCCGCCCTCTGCCCGCCCTCGGACAAGGCCGCACTCTGCGCCGCGAAGCCAGGCCGCTTCAGCCAACTCAGGACACGTACGTCGGCGAAGCTCGTTGAAGCTGAAGCGGCAGAGAGGTCACCCACGGCGGAAGAGAAGCGCGGCGGAGAGCGCGACAGCGAGCGGCAAGTCGAGACGGGCGGCGCTGCCTGTGAGCCAAGAGATGCCATCTGGATCGGCTGGCACGACACCGGCGGGTGCTGGGCTTGGCTGGCTGGGCTTGCTTTCAAGAAGCTGGGAGGGACACGTGTAGGCAGCGCAGAAGGGCGTGTCGGCGGCAATCGGGGGTACGTGTCGGACGCCTGCCTGCTGGCCTGGCCGAGCAACAGGCAGGGCCATGCGGTTGGCGGCAGTCGGGCAGAGGAAGGGCGAGGCCAGGCAAGGCCAGGCCAGGCCAAGTCAGGCCAGGAGGCTCAGCGTCGGTCTTCTCTCCACAGAGCGAAGATCTCGTGAGGCCAGGTGTAGGGGGGCAAGAGGCCACGCCAGGCCACGCCTGCGGGGGCTGCCCGGCCAGAGCGCCGAAGCGCCGCTGGGATGTGGGTCCAGAGCGAGGCTAGGCCGTGCTGTGTGGCTGCCGGTCTGGCCTGGCCTGGCCGCCCTACCTGGCTGTGCGTGGGTGCGAAGGTGTTGCTGGCTCGGCTGCCGCCATTCGGCCCAAGTCGAAGTACGTTGTTGGCACGCACGGCTCTCGGCCCTCGCCGCTGTTCCTCGGTCATGCCTGCCTGCCCGCCTGCCTCCCTCTCCTCCCCTCGTCCCTCTGTCTCCCGACCTCCCTTTCCCCCCTCCCCTCCGCCGCCATAGCCAGCTACGACCACGACCACCGACCACCGACCACCGAGCCACCCTGTACATAGCCTGTGTGTCCTTACACGTCGTCTTGAATCCTTCCTCGGCCGCCATGGATCCAAGCCGAACCGATCGCCTCGCCGCTCCCTGTCCCTCGTCTTCCCTTCGCAGCACCAACACCACCACCAACAGCAACACCAACACCACCAAGTCTTCGTCTTCTACATCCTCATCCTCGTCGTCCTTGAACACCATCGGTGGCCCCACCCACGTCGACATCCCCACCTCAAACGTTCACCAGTCCACCTCGCCATCTACGCCCACCGCGGTCAACGTCCCCTCAGCTCCCTACGTCACCGGCAGGTTTGGCTCGCGCAGCGCTGGCCAGCCAAACTCGTACGACTCGGCGCTCTCCACGTCGTCGTCCTCGTCGTCGTCCGACGTCGCAGACGACCTCGCAAGCATAGACATCTCCCAGCACAACAACGAAAAGGAGCCGCTGCAAGACGAACCCTTCACCATGGCCAACCTCCCCGACGGCCAGGCGGCCATGCTCCAGGTCCTCAACGGAATCGCGTCGATGCAGAAAGAGGTTCGTTCCGGTTGACCCTTGGACCCGTCCATCGCTCTCGTGCCGGCGCTGACCGCCCACCGCTGATCTCCCTGTACCATCACCCTTCGCAATGGCCGACGACCGCAGCTGGCCAGGTTACACATGCGAATGGACGCCCTCGAGTCGCAGAACGAAAAGATCGCCCGCAAGAACTCGTTCTTCGCCGCCACACCGCCCGGCTCCATCTCGCCCTCGCCCGCCTTCACCAGCTTCCAGCGGCTAGACCTGCCCAGCCGCAGCGGCAGCCCCATCGAAGGGCGCAACGCCGACTACTTCGCCGCTCCGCACCTTGCCATGGCGCCCGCAGCCATGGCTCAGCCCGCTCCGCTCCTCACAGAGGAGCCCAAGCTTGGCCTCTGGGCCGTGGTGCCCGCAGGAGGCGCGGGGACACGGCTCTGGCCCCTCAGCCGAGAGTCGTACCCCAAGTTCCTGCTGGACCTTACCGGTAGCGGCAGGACGTTGCTGCAGAGCACCTGGGACCGCCTGCTGCCGCTGGCCGGCTCGTCCCGCATGATGATCGTCACTGGCCAGGCGCACACCAAGGGCGTCTCTGATCAGCTGCCAGAGCTGCTGGCGTCCAACATCCTCGCCGAGCCGTCGCCAAAGGAGTCGATGGCTGCCATTGGCCTGGCTGCGGCGGTGCTGCGGCGGCGGGATCCCGAGGCCGTGCTGGGCTCGTTTGCGGCCGACCACATCATCTCGGGCCGCGACGGCTTCGAGTCGGCCGTGACCGAGGCGGTCGAGACGGCCAAGGCGGGCTACCTGGTCACCATCGGCATCGCGCCCTCGCACCCTTCGACGGGCTTCGGCTACATCAAGCTGGGCGAGAGCCTGGAGCTGGAGCGAGCGCCCAACGCGCGGCGCGTGACCGAGTTCAAGGAGAAGCCCGACGCGCGCACCGCCTCGGCCTACCTGAGCACGGGCGAGTACCGGTGGAATGGCGGCATGTTCGTCGTAAAAGCCCAGGTGCTGCTCGAGCTGCTGCGGCGGAGCGTGCCCGAGCTGCACGACGGGCTGGACCGCATTGCGGCCGCGTGGGACACGCCCTCGCGCCAGACGATCCTCTCCGAGATCTGGCCCACGCTGCCCAAGATCGCCATCGACCACGCCGTGGCCGAGCCGGCCGCCAAGCTGGGCAAGGTGGCCGTGGTGCCCGCCACGTTTGGCTGGGACGACGTCGGGGACTTTGCGTCGCTGGCCGACCTCATCCCCGCCGAAGAGGGCGAGGCGAGGGTGCTGGGCGACAGCCGGTTGGTCATCACCGAGTCGCAGGCGGGCGGCCTCATTGTGCCCGCTGCCGGTCGACCCATTGCCTGCCTTGGCGTCGACGACGTCGTCGTCGTCGACACGCCCGATGCGCTCCTCATCACGACGCGGGCGCGCAGCCAGGACGTGAAGAAGATCGTGGGCAAGACCAAGAAGACCTACCCGCAGCTCTGCTAGAGACGAGGGCCGTTCGGCCTGGCCGTGCGTTTCGCCGGACGCCGCCGTCGCCACCCCCCACTCCCTCTCGCCTATACCCCTCCATCTCATCCTTTCCAATCGGATCCCTGCCTCCTGTCTCTCGATCCGCGACGTTGGGTCCCTAGCCTAGAGATTCGAGCTGGTCCTCCCTTGCCCCTCCAACCCTCCTGACTCTGCCGTCAACCAGTATAAATCGGGACAATATCAAACGCCTATCCATCGGGAAAGAGAGGCGGTCAGCGAGAGCCATGGCGCATGTCCCGCCCCCGCCCCTGCCCCTGGGGATCGGCCGACGTGGAACGGTGAGGGGATGCTGCATGTGAAATGAGAGGAGATGGTATCAAGAGGCATAAGATGAGGGACGGGATCGGGTGAGGGTATGTGCTGGCAAGGAAAAAGGTGTAGCTAGAGTTGGCGGTGGAATGATGTGCTGCTGCTGATGCCGGGGGCTGGACGGGAAAGAATGGATGAACGAGAATGGAACATGTGTGTGTGTGTGTGTGTCGGTCGCGAAGCAGGGACGGTGAAAAGCTGGGTCGAGGGAGGGATCCTGTCGGTATAGCCTGAAACGAATCGACGAAGTGCGGGCGCCATAGGGCCGGGGGAACAGATGTGGTGGCGGCGATGATCGATCGCCGTGATGTGGTGTTGGTGCACAGCCGGCGGGGTAGGGCCTGGGCTGGGGGATCAGAGTTGCGAGTTGTCGGCGCACTCGCGCAGCGCCATGGTGAGCGCCTCCATGCGCCTGGCAGAGCTGCGGCTCAACGACGACGATAGCCGCGGCAGCCCATCGTCGTCGTCGTCACGCTCGGCCCCATCGCCGTGGCCGCTGTGCTCGTCGGCGCCAGCAGCCTTGGGCTCGCGACGGATCGACCTCGACGCGCCTGCGCCCGCGCCAGCCCGCGAGACGCTGCCGGCCTTGTTGCCGCGCCGGTTGGCGCTCACCCTCGATGTCGGCGAGTCGAGGCCGGCAGAGGCGAAGCTGTTCTCGTCCGATACCATCATCGGACGTCGGTGCGTCTCTTCGATGAGCTTGGCAATCTTGCTGCCCCGAGACAGGCTCTGCATAAAGGCCTTTTTCTTGATCGTGCTGGGCAGCGGACCGTCGCAGCGGAACGGATCGTCGTCCTCCCGTCCCTCGACGGCGTTGGCCGCCGCGCTCGACCCGAACGGCTGCCTCGAAGGGATCGCGGCTGACGTCGAGCCCGACGCGTTCGATCGGGTCGCCTGCGGCCGCACCTTGGACGATCCAGCGGTGCTTTTGACGCTCGAACGAGGACCGTCGCCACCGTTGGCGGTGGGGCAAGTGCGCTGGCTGCGAGGCGACTTTGTACGGCCCCGGACCGCTTCCAACCCAGCCGCCTCGCCGGCAGCAGCGGCTGGCGATCGCTGGATCGGGTTGAGTCGGGGCTTCGAGCGCCTCCTGGTCACGCGACGCGAAGAGATGATAGCTTCGCCCTTTAGCGGCGACCAGCTTCGAGGCTCAAACTCGGTCCCGTTGAGCTCGAGCACCTTGGGCGACGTGATGCCAGACGGGGAGCTGACCATGAGCGTGGGTGGCGACGGCGGCCTCACCGGACTTGGCGGCGCGAGGTGCGAAGCGTCGATGGGAAGCGTCGAGGATGACGCCTCGCGTTCCCGCTTGAGCCGCTCGCACTCCTGCAGCGCTTTGCTGAGCACGTCCACGCTCTTCATCCGGCGAAGGTGGCTCGGGCGCAGGCAGGCCTCGTTCCGCAAGGCGACGGCTGGGTCCATCGTCAGAAAGGGAAGAGCCGGTCCAGCAAGCAGCTGGACAGCAATGGTGCCATTCTCGGCCCCAGACTCGGCGGCCGGCTTGACCGGCGTCGGGTCCTCATCGTGACCCTTGCGTCCGCTGCGATCGCCGAAGCGGTTCAGTCCCTGCAGAGATTCTCGCCAGACCGCGCGCTCGTTACGCCGCCGGCGCTGCGTGCGCGGGCTTTCCGTCTGCGGATCATCCATGGAGCCTCGCTGGGGCTTGGTCGGGCTGTCTGCAAACGCTTCAGCGAGGCCGGTGCGGCGTTTCCCCTTTTTCGCAGCACCGAGCTGCTGGGCAAAGCGGTCTGCTGCCGCCGCCGTATCCTTGCCGATCGCCCTGTCGAGGTCGAAGGCGCCCTTCATCCGCACGGGCGCTGTCTGCGATTTGGCATTCCGGTACGCCAGGCTGCCCATCCAGAGCTGATTCCTGCTCGCCTGCTTCCGGATCGTCTTCGATGGGCTTGCCTTTGGACTCGTCTGACTCGCCTTTGCCTTCGGTCTTCTAGGCGTGGAGGTGCGGCCCGAGGCAGAGGTATGCGATGGTTTCGCCGGAGCCGCCTGGTGCGTGATGACCTGCTCTTGCTCGTTTCGCCGCGCTGCGATGTCGGTCTTTGATGCGACAAAGTCCTTGCGCTGCTCCTCGGCCAGACCATGGCCTGACTCGGGCTCGTGATGCATGTCGTTGCTCGGAGTGATGCGGATCGACGGGATTTTAGGAACCGCTGGCACCTCCTCTGATGCTGACTCCGCCCTCCAGAAGGCGCCAAAGAGCCAGCCGGATGATCTCGTCGACCTCAGTTGCTTGCGGACCGGCGCTGGCTTTCGCTCGTCGGAAAAGGTCCGTTGTATGGTTTGACGGAGTGATGTCGCCGCGACCGAGGTCGACGCGTGGTTGCCATTCCACAAGGCGTCGCCTTTGGCGGCGGCGGGATTGCGAGGAGACTGAGACGCCATCCTGGCGATAGCCTGGCGGTCCGGTGTGATGACGCGAGTCTCCTTGTACCCAGCCCGCTCGAGGAGGTCCTGCAAGCTGTCGAACTGGCTATCTGATGCCGAGCAGTCTTCGCTTCCGATGCAGCGAGCATCGTCGCGCGAGCTCCGAAAGGACCTACCGGGTTGCCTGACCTCGTCGTAGAGCTTTCGCAGGTTGCCCGTGATGGACGTCGAATGTGGCGAGTCGTGCCTTGGCTGCGAGCTGAGGCTCGACGTCGAGTCGGGGGAGGTGACAGAATCGCTGCCTCCGGAGAGGTCGGGCGTTCCGTGGTGAGGCGACAGTTCGGGCGAGGACGGCGGCGAGTAGGGGATGCCCTGGTGTCATGACAAGGCGGCGCGCGCGACGCGAATTAAATAGCAGCGAGATCAGCTCTAACGTCCTGGATCTCTCCCTTGCGTGCAGGAGGCGTCAGAACGAGAAGAAGATGTGGGTCTTTGGCAGCTCACCCTCTGTATACGCCCGATGTAGCCGTACATTCCCTGAGATCCGAGGGGCGAGGCGTTCAGCGCGGCGGCATCCGGGTAGGCGAGCTGCCAGAGGTGCTAAGGCGCAGTCCTCGAGGCAGCTTGTTGGAGTCGGCTTTTTGAAAGGGGCGTCCAGAAAGCTGCTGTAGAGCGGGATTGGAACGCGGATGGTCGAAGTAGGGGTTGGCGGAACTGTAGAAGACGTCGAAGCTCAAAACGGGATGGCAATTGGGATGGTGCTGATGCTGTGTTCGAGAGACGAGATGCTGGGCGATGGTGGCCACGGTCCAGGCCGTTCCGACTGCGAAGCTGCTGAAGGGAATGCAAAGGCGATGGCAGATGAGAAGAGCAAGAGAGGGGAAGGGGCAGGCAAGATGGAAGAGGACGGTGATGGCGAGAGCAACAGGCAGTGAGCGAGGCCACCTGCTCGACGGCGGAAAAACACACAACCAGCGAGCAAGCAAGCAAGCCAGCAAGCCAGCCCCACCGCCCGCGAGCCTTGGTTGGCTGCCTTATTGGTTGGCTCGGCCACGGGGCTCCCGGCCTGCATGCCTCTTCCACCAACCTCTCCGCCGGCCCCCTGCCTGCTGGGCCCCCCTTCCGACACGTATGGATGCTCGGCGCAGCCCAACAAGAGCCCCTGACCCCTCCGCCTTGTTCTGTCTCCGATCCTTGCACGTCCGCGTCTCTGGGCACCAGCATGGAATGGTGAGCAGCTGACAGACAGCTCGCTGCGGGTCGGGAACTGACATACCGATGATCCTCAGCCGCGACCCCTCTCTTGCCCCCCGAAAAGTCACACACACGCAGGCAAGCCGCCTCTGGCCTGCCTGCAGGCGCGCGTCGGGCGTCGACCTCTTGCCGGGCGTCACGCTGAAACCGAGCTCGACTGTCAGCTCCCATCGGGGCTCGATTGCGCATCGGGATCCACAGCACGATCCGGTCGAATCTATCGGGATGCCGGCCTCGAAACGAAGCACGCAATCGTCGCAGTCCTCGACGTGATGGATCTTCGAATCCCCGGCGCTGCGCTCCGTCGAACTCGGCACCTATACCCACCTCTCGCCCGCCGCCGATCTTGCTCGCTCGGTCAGCGCATCCGTCCCGGCCGCCCTGCCTGCCCTTGGCACCACCCTGGCGTCCAGCCAGCGCTCAGCAGAAGCTGTGGACATGGTCGATGATGGCCAACTCAGTCATGGCGACGTCGACACCGTGTGGAGGAGGCTCGACGTCGGAGGGGCAGAGGAGGCCATGGCCAGGATTCGCCGCGGAAGGGCGGGGATAGCAGCCGCAGCGCCAGCAGCAGCATGGCACCAACGCTAGCGGCGACCTAGCTGCTGACGCTCGGGTCCCTCCTTCGCCCCGGGGTCGTTCGACAGCCCAGGCCTCGAACCGACAGTCCGGGCCGTCGACAAGACATACAAGACCCCTCTTGCCCCCCTCCTTCCTCTCTCTGACCATCCATCGCTCGCCCTCACCGAGACCACCGCCATCCCCCTTCCGTTCGCCTGCTCACCGTCCCATCTCCGTTGCTCTGTCCCTGTCGCCCGTCTCGCTCACCATGACGCAAGCCGACCAGGTCGCCCAGTCCTCTCAGCAGGCGCTCGTCGACGCCCGAATCCAGAATGTCATCGACAACCTCCCTGCGATCAACCGCAAGCTGGGCGAGGCCGATCCTCGCGAGATCATCGAGTGGGCCATTGACAACCTGCCGGGCCTCTACCAGACCACCGCCTTTGGCCTCACTGGCTGCATCACCGTCGACATGATCTCGCGGATCAGTGCCGAGCGCGCGGCCAAGGCGGGGCAACCACCCAAGCACCTGGTGCCCCTCATCTTTGTCGACACCCTCTACCACTTCCCGCAGACGCTCGACCTCGCCGCCAAGCTCGCACGACACTACGACGCCGAGATGCACACCTACTACCCGCCCGGCACCCGCACCGTCAACGAGTTTGAGACCAAGTGGGGGCCCATGCTGTGGGAGCGCGACGAAGACACCTACGACTACCTTGTCAAGGTCGAGCCGGCGCGACGCGCCTACGAGGAGATGGGCGTCCGCGCAGTCTTCACCGGCCGCCGGCGGTCGCAGGGTGCCGATCGCGCCTCGCTCAACGCCGTCGAGGTCGACGAGACGGGCCTGATCAAGGTCAACGCCCTCATGAACTGGTCCTTTGCCCAGGTGGACGGCTACGCCAAGCTCAACGCCGTGCCCTACAACGAGCTCCTCGACCTCGGGTACAAGTCGATCGGCGACTGGCACTCGACGGCGCTTCCCGGCGTCGGCGACAGCGAGCGCTCGGGCCGCTGGAAGGACAAGGGGGGCAAGACCGAGTGCGGCCTGCACAAGGATTACTTCAAGATGAAGAACCTGGCCGAGAAGAAGCTGCGCGAGGCCGAGCTCGCCCGCAAGGACGAGGCCAAGGACAAGGAGCTCGAAGCCGCCGCAGTCGCAGCACCTCAAGATATCACGGCGACCTCCGCGGCTCAGCAATCCGCCGCCGTGGCCTCCTCATAGACTGGTCTGGCTTGCCCAGTCGTCCTGGTCGACGACAGCTGCAATGCACGCCCTCCTTTCGCCTGCCTCGCTCTTCCGCACCGATGCCGGCCGCCTCCCTCGCGGTACCCTTGTCTCTCTGTATATCTAATCGGCTCCCTCCATTCCATTGCTCCGTGCATGCATGTATATCCAAGCTGGCCTCGACGCCGACCATCGTCAGCTGCTCAATCGCTGGCGGTGTGGCGATCGAGGTCGCCCCCAAAACAGGGTTTGCGGCATGAGCTGCACTGCCCTTGGCCATCCCTCGGCCTTGCAATAAACACCCACAGACCACACACCTCGACCGACAAGAAGAGTCGTGGGCTCGTGCAGGGCTGTGGCCATGTAGCATCGCATGCTAGCAGACGTCTGGAAAGGCCTGTCGATAAGGTTGTGTGCGTGCGCTGTGCACACCGGGGCCCGATGTGTGTCTTGTTGCTGGAAGCCGCACTTCTTGTCTTCCGCTGGAAGGCGAAGCTGAGCGCTGCCGGCGCATCGTTCGGCAGCCTCGCGGGCCACAGGTTGGAGCGCAGCGATCGCTCACATCTCATCGGAGGGATCTCGACGGATCCATCGGCCATCTCCGGCCTGCTCGCTCGAGCCAAAGAGGATGAGGATGCATGCACGGCGACATGGCGGCGCCCCAGTCGGGGCCGGCAGCGCGGAACGTGGAGCCCGACCACAAAGCAAGGCTGCGCGATGCGGGCAGGGCCCATCCGTCGTTTCTTCTTTGCCCCAGCCAGAAAGGCCTGCCTCGGCCAGGGCCCCCGCGAGCGCGCATTTTCCTCGCCATTTTCCTTCGTGCTTCGGACTTGGCCGTGGCTTTCGCCTTTGCTGCGACCCTCTGGCTGGACCGTGACTCGCTCCTCGTCGCCCTCGCTCCGGGCCATACAAAAATGGCGGCTCGGCGGGGAGCGTGTGGGGAAGAGGAGCCCCTCGAATCCCTTCCTGACCCCTGCCTTGCCTCTGCCCGCACTGTAGCTGCCAGAGAGCTGCTATCCATCGACCTCACCTTTCCGCCAGCTTGAGCCAGCCAGCCAGCTCTCTTCTCCATCGGGCCAGGACCGAAGCCGTCTCGGGTCAAAGCCTAAAAATCAGAAGGGTCGGCCCCAACACGCGCGCTAGCCTGGCCCCCACCACGCCACGCCACGCCTCGCCTGGCCTCGCCCAGCCCCGCCTGCGCCCAATTTTTATTTCCCTCACCCCAGAGAGCAAGACTAAGGAGGTGGTCCCTGCCCCCTTCTCTCTCGGTCCCCCCACTCGAGCCATCTCTCTTGGCACCACACGTTGCGACCTCAGCATCGCCATCGTTCTGCACCCTCTCGCTCGCCCGTCCGCGTCGCACACGTGCAGCGCTTCATTCCTCGTCGCCCCGATCCCTCCCTCGCCCGTCGAGGTATCTTCCGACTAGGATTCGCACGGACCCAAGCCCTCGCCGATAGTCGACGAGCAGCAGCCAGAACCCACCGCCGGCTCCCCCTCCCCGCTGTCTGAGCCAGTCGGACCCCCATCCTCATCGACACCACGATGCAGTCGCACCACGACTGCTATTCCCATTCCGGGACGCAACAGCATGGCTGCGTGAGTACAGACAGACACCCTGGTCCGATGCGGCTCCAACACGGCTCGAGCTGCTTGAACTCGGGCCGTCTGCAACGACGTATTCAGGCCTCGCGATGCCTCCCGGCGGGGCGCTCTCGCCGAAGCATCGCTCGCTGCATTGCGGCTGACTCTCGACGGGGCAAGCCGGGCCGCTCTCCGCGTCTCTCCCCCCGCGACGCCCCGATGCGAAAGGAGGGCAATTGCTGACGCCCTTGCTGCCTCTTATCATCTCCTCTGCTGCCCGCCTCGATGTCGCCGACCCGTCTCGCAGTCGGCCTCGGAAAACTTCAGACCAGCCATGCCTGCACCCAACCTCCTCCCGCGCAGGGTCTTCATCGGAGCCGTCATCTCTTCCAAAGGCGTCAACGACCTGCGCATCATCGAACGCGCTATCCTCGGCGTTGGCAGCGGGGGTGTGATCCGCTTCGTCGAGGATCTCGACCTGCTCGAGGCGCAAGAGAAGCTCCAACAGGCCGCTCCGAGCCCGTCCGAGACCTCGACCGCGTCCACGGCCTCGCAGGGAGAGGACCGATCCTCGACGCCCATCGCCATTCCCGGCCAGGCGAGCACCGCCGGTCTGCCCGATGCGCCGGCGCTCTCGAAACTCGAGATGCCGCCGCCCGCCGTCGCCCAACAATCCCAGACGGCCGGCCTCAGCGAGTCGGCCAAGCAGGAGCAGGCGCTCGTCAAGAAGGTCGTCGAGAAGCACGGCTGGAGGTACAAGCAGTACAAGCTCGTCCGCGTCCCTCCCGGCAGCTTCATCTGCCCAGGATTCATCGATACCCACACCCACGCCTGTCAGGTCCCCAACATTGGCCTCGGCCAGCAGTATGAGCTGCTCGACTGGCTCCAGCACGTCACCTTCCCGCGAGAGAGGCGGTTCGAGGACCCGAGGTACGCGCGGAAGACGTACGAGTCCGTCGTCCAGCGCCTCATCGACTCGGGCACCACCACCGCGTGCTACTACGCCACGCTCCACCTCGAGGCGTCCAAGATCCTGGCCGAGATCTGCAACGAACGAGGCCAGCGCGCCTTTGTCGGCAAGTGCCAGATGGACCGCAACTCGCCCATCGACTACGTCGAGAAGAACGCCTCGACCTCGATCGAGGACACCAAGGAGTTCATCCGCTTCACCCGCAGCCTGCGGCCCTACGGCCAGCCGCCGGATGTCTCGTCTCCCCGCATGAGCCCCGCCGACGCCGTCTCTGGCATGTCGCCGGAGATGGACGCCAGCATCGCCAGGCTCAGCGCCACGGTCGACGAGATCATGTCGCCGGGCAGCAAGCCCGCGTCCGAGTCCGGTGGCAGCCCGACATCGCAGCGGCTTGCCCTCAAGCCAGTGGCCCGACCCGGCCCCGTGGCCCACCGCACGCCGAGCAACACGAGCATGAGGAGCGCCAGCGGCAGCTCGACGCCGTCGCGCGTGCGGGAGCGCGAGCTGGCCAACGCGCTGGTCCAGCCCATCCTCACGCCGCGCTTCGCCATCAGCTGCACGGACGCGATGCTGACGGGCATCTCGGCGCTGCTGTCGCGCGACCCGACGCTGCGGGTCCAGACCCATCTGAGCGAAAACGAGGGCGAGATCACCTTTACCAAGCAGCTCTTCCCCTTTGCCAAGACCTACACGTCGGTCTACGACCACTACAGCCTGCTAGGGCCCCGGACGATCCTCGCCCACGCCATCCACATCGATTCGGAAGAGCTCGAGATCATCAAGAAGCGCCGCTGCGGCATCTCGCACTGCCCCACGAGCAACCTCAACCTCCGCAGCGGCGCCTCGCGCGTCGGCGAGATGCTCAACATGGGCATCAAGGTCGGCCTGGGCACCGACGTCTCCGGAGGCTTCGGCCTCGGCATGCTGTCGGCGATCCGGGAGGCGAGCGTCGTGGCAAAGGTGCTGGCCTTCCAAAAGGCCAGCGACGAGGAGCTGCAGCGCAAGGCGGCCGAGGACAAGCAGAGGCTCGAAATCGACCTGCCCAACAGGAAGACGGACGAGGCCAACATCGACGGCAGGTACCCGCGGCCGCCGGTGCAGGGCCAGTACAAGCCCCGCAAGACGCAGCCCTCGTCGCTGGCAGGGACGGGGAGCAACACGCCCGTCACCTCGACGACGGCGGCCGGCGCGACGGCCATGTCGCAATCGACGTCGACCGACTCGGTGTCGGCCGCCGCCACCGCACACCAGCAGCAGCAGGACGCGGCCTCGGCCACCGTCGCCGCAGCTGCGGCGGCGGCCGCCCCGGCACCGCCACCGGAGGACTTCACCAAGGGTCCCCTGACGATCGCGACGCTCTTCTACCTGGCGACGCTCGGCGGTGCCGAGGTGTGCTCGATGGCGTCCAAGATTGGCAGCCTGGACCCGGGCAAGGAGTTTGACGCGCTCCTCGTCCACACGACGTCGCAGTGGGGGCCCAGCGGCTACACGGGCAACCCGGGCTGCTTTGTCGAAGAGGACGACGCGCTGGCCGACGTCTTTGAAAAGTGGCTCTTTACCGGCGACGACCGCAACATCGGCACCGTCTTTGTGCGCGGCCGCGTCGTCGGCGGCGCTCGGCCGCTCAGGGATTGAGCGGCGTCGGCGTCGGAAGCGGCAACAGAACCGGGACCAGGACCAGACGGCAGACGAGGGAGCGGAGCGGAGTTGGGGGGATGAGCAGGGATCGAGATTCGTGCAGCGTCGGTAGCGCAGGCCGACGAACGAGGCGCCGCGGAGCGGACCAGACATGTTCGTGTTCAGAGTTGGTGGGCTAGGTGTGTGTTACGAGGAAAGGGCGGGGAGGCAGCGGGGCCAAGCATCCAGAGGCAATGATCAGCATTTCCGTCACCTCTGCTTGCAAAACCCCGTCACGGGGGGAGGGTTTCCCCCGCACACATCGACGTACCTCGTAGCGGCGCGGCGAGGGGCGATGCGTCCTCGATGCATGTCTCGTGGAGCTGGCCGCGGAAGAGGTAGCGTACCTTGAGGTGCTTCTTTTCGCCCATGACTGGGTCGTGGAAGCCGAGGATGTTGGACTGCGCGGCGGAGGGCGGGCGAGGCGGAGGGCGGGCAAGGATGAGCGACGGGACGATGACGAGAAAGGGCCGGGAAAGGGACTTACCTTTGGTCTTCCGCCTGGCACGACAATCTGGCCCTTGTTGACGAGAGCCTGGAGCGGGATCCTGACATCCCACACCACCTCATCCGGCACGGTACCGTCCAGCACCGCGGCGGGTACGGTGCTGTGTTCCCTCTCCCTCTTCCACACCTGCCCCAGCTCCTCTTCGCTCCCCTCGAGGGGCGGTGGGAACGCCTCCCTCCTCCCGTACCAGGCCTCGACAATGACCAGTCCGCCCTTGCGCATCTCGGCCTCGGCCTTTTTCAGGGCCTGGTCGCGCAGCACCTCGCACGCCTCGATGGCGGCGGTGCGCCGCTGCAGGATGACCTCGGCGTGGTCGCGCCGCAGGTGCGCCAGCTTGTCCGTGATCCGGCGCCGCTTGCGCGGCTGCAGGTAGAGGTGGTGCAGCGCCGTGTACCCTGCCGCGGGCAGCGCCGCAAAGAGGATGACGAGGTCGCTCCGGAACTCGGACGAGAGCTGGATCGGCACCATGACCTTCTGCCCCAGTCGGTTGACGCGCACCCGCAGCGTCACGCCGCCTGGCACGCCAAAGTTGAGGCCCAGGCTCAGCCGCACCGCCTCGGTCAGCCGTCGCTCGCCATTGGTGAAGGCCGAGAGGCCCGAGCCGGTCCCGAGGTTGAAGCCGACGCGCACCTTGACGCCTCCCAGCACCTTTGTCGCCCAGTCGGCGCCGATGCTCTGGTCCACCTCGGAAATCGACGTCTGCACCGTCCAGCCCTTGCCCTCGCCCACCTGCTTCGTCAGCCCCACTGAGGCGACGGGGGGCTCACGCCGGAACATGGCTCGGGGCGACAGCGACTTGCCCCATGGCCCGACAGTGTAGGTGCCCGAGCGGATCGACGTGAAGCCCGTCAGCATTGACTTGGACGAGAGCCGCTGACCGTAGGTGAGATTGAGCGTTGGCGGCGAGGCAAGCGTCTGCAGCGTGCTCTGCCAGGTGAAGAACCTGTACGGGAAACAAGCCGCGGGGAATGCGGGTTCGAGAAATGGTCAGTATGCCCAGCGCAACTAGAACCATCGAGGCGAGGCACGGAGCGGAGCGGTTCCGACGAGATACTCACGAGTTCTGATCGAGCGTGTACTGCCCCTTTGTGGTGAGGATGTGTGGCCGGATAAACGTCATCGTGACCTCCGAGAACAGCCTGGGACTCCAATGTGCCTTGACAGTGCCGACGAGATTGCCGCCTCCCATGCCGCCCCGACTGACCATCTGGCCGGAGAGGTTGAGCGACGTCGTGTTGGTCACCTGCGTGTCGAAGCCGTGCTTGCCAATCAGCTGCGTGCAGCCGACCCGATTGATGCGCTCCTCGAGCGTCACCGGGCCGAACCTCCCCTTGGGCCTTGGGATCCGCTCTGGCCGAGCAAAGAGGGCGGTGGCATCGATGTGGGCGGTAAAGTCACCCTTGGACTTGACGAGGTTTTCGGCATCGGCAGCTTGCCGGCGCCGCGACTCCCGCTCAAACTCGGCCTGCATCTCTGCGGGGGTGCGGCCGCGCAGCGAGACGGTCCAGGACGACTTGAGGCCTTCCTCGCCAAAGTGGTCGTACACGGCGCGCTTCTCGCGATCGATGAGGGTCTCGTAGGCGCGCTGGACCTCGCGGAAGCGCGACTCGGCAGCCGCCTTGCGGACGGCGTCCTGATGCTTGTCAGGATGTAGCACGACTGCAGCCGGGAAGGGAGCGTCATGCCGCTAGCGTTGCGTCAGCGGAGACGACAGACTATCCTGAGCAGCGTATTGCGCCGCTGATAGACTCACCAGCCAGGGATCGGTAGGCGTCCTTGATCTGCTCTTCTGTCGCCTCCTTGTCCACGTTGAGGAGGGCATAGAGGCCTTCCTTGTCCGCGTCCTGGACCGGGTCAGAGGTATGCGAGGGCCCTGCCTTGGTCGGGTCGTGTGCGTCTCGGAACGGCCGACCCCCGAACAGAGGCTCGTCATCCTCTTCGCCATCGTCTTGAGAAGCGGCGGGCGGTGCACTGGTCCTGCTGCGCTGGGTGCCGGACTCAGGGTCGCGACTGGATCGCGAGGATTCTGCCGGTCGTTGGGCGCCTGAAGACGCTGGGGTTCTTGACGAAGACGGCGGAGAATGTGAGGCGGAGGCGGAGGCGGAAGACGCCGAGGGACGTGTGTCGGAGCGTGGTGATGCCGAGTCGGGACTCGACTGTGGACCAGAAGACGTTGTCGAGCTGGAATCCTGTGACGACGGCCTGTATGGTGCATACGGGTCGTCGTCGTCGAAGTCCTCGACGGTGGCCGCCGCCGGTGGGGCCATGGTGGTCCGGCTGGCTAGAGGCTCTTCTTCTGGCGCGCGTGAGGGCGGATGGTGCTAGGCAGGAACAGGCGGAGGAATGGCCTGGAAGCAGCGAGTGCTGTTCAGTGGCGGTCAGAACGTCGAAGAGGCGGTGTGGCGAAGGGTGGCGTTTGGGCGGAAGGGTTGAGTTGGTGCGAGAGAAAGGAATGAATGGCGAGGTGGGGGCGTGCACGCTGGCTGGCCAAGCTGACCAAAGGGCGGGCCTCGGGCCACACTCGGGCGCGGTCCGGCAGGGGAAAAAAAGCACGTCGACCCCCGCTCCCCTCCGAAAAATAAGAATCCAAAGTGGAGCACCGGCTGCCAGCTCAGCCTTCCTCTCATGTCGCCACGTCCGGGGCCGGTGCGCGGTCTGAATCCCTCTCAGTCGGGATAAGGTGTCAGTGCGTAGCTCGCAGAGGGTCGCCCCCTTTCTTATTGCGTCGCAAATGTGACACTCTTCACTCTAGAACCTCGAAACGGCGACGCGGTTCATGATGCCGTGACCGCCGTACGGCTCGAGGCCGGTTGCGAGACCTGGCCGACGACCAGCGGCGCCACCGTCTCGAGGACGCGCAGCACCGGCTGCAACGCTGGCTCCTCGACCTCGGCCTTGGCGTTGCGCAGCGCATCCACAAAGGCCTTGCACAGGTCGCCCCTCGACTGGGACAGCCGCGCGAGCTTGAGCATCACGAGGCTCGCCAGCTGGTCGACGATCCGGCTCGCGGGCGTCGGCGACTGCGTCGACAATGGCACGGCTGGCTCCCCGGCGTCCACCATCGCCTCCATGTCCGTCACTCGCGTCGTCTGGACCGAGGCGAGGCTGCGCAGCAGCACCATCGAGAGTCCGACCACCTGGGCAACCGCCACGACGCTCTCCTTGTCCTCTACCGCACCGAGGTCGACGTGCTGCAGCACAGCGAGCAGAGGTATGACCGAAGCGTAGGGAATCGCCTTGGCATCGCCGGTCGACGCAAGGGCGAGGAGCATGGACAGCGCTTGGATGCTCTCGGCGCTCCTGTTTGCGCCCATCTGCTGCAAGACCCCTGACGCCGCAGCCTCGGCGCCCCACTGCTGCAAAGAGCTGGCAGGCTCGACGGTCAGCAGCAGCCTCGACGTCGCTAGAGATCCCAGTTGCGTCCTCAACCAGACGGAAGCCTTGGCCAGACCTGCAGAAGAGTGCCGCGGCAAGGTGTCGATCAGAAGAAAGAGGGGGACACGGCCGGTCAGAGCCATACGAGGTCAATGCTAGCACCGACCCAATACTCACCGCCAGACGTCATGCCGAAACCTTCCATCCCGGATTTGAGCGAGCCAAGGTCGAAGCCGTCGGTTCCCTTTAGGGACCTGGCCAGGTCAGGCTGAGCGAGGAAGCGCTCAAAATCGGCGGCGACAGTGTGGCGCACCGCCGGCGGGCATGTCTCAGAGCCGAGGATGAGCTGTACGACGGCCAGGTGGACGGTCCTCGACGTCGCATCCCTGCCGAGGCCGCTGCTGAGCAGGACCTCTTCCGACGTCGACGACCGAGACAGGAGCGGGAGCAGCGGCACGCGCTGCACCTCTTGCAGAAGCCACCGCATCGCCGCCGGCAAGGTGTAGCTCAGCAGATCCTGCAGGAAGTACGAAAGGCCGCCGCGCAGGGTTTCAAGATCGATGATGCCCGAATTGCACGCATTGATCGACTGCGAGAAGAGGGTCGGGGCGAGCCGCAGCAATGCTCGCGGAGAAGAGTCGCTGCCAGAAGATTCGACCAGGGAAGGCGCAAGATTTAGCGGGAGGCAAGAGGAAGCGTGATCAGCGACGAAAACAAGGCGGCGACGCAGTAGCGTGCGAGGGTGGCGACTCACCGTGTGAGCTCGTCCGAGATACCCTCGTTGTCAAACAGCGCCGATATCCACCTGCCGACGAGCGAGCGTTCGTCGGGCGCCAGGTCCGCGAGCCGGTAGACGACGGACGACGCCCGAAGGAAACGGGCGAAGAAAGAGTCTCTGTTGTCCGACGGGACCACGGCGTCGGCTGCGACGCTGTACCGCTGACAGACGAGCTGAAGGAGCAAGAGGATGTTGCACAGCGTCGATGGCTCATCGCTCGCTTGGCCGACATCGCCTCGATCCAGCAGCGACGCCAGCATAGTGGCGAGCTCGGCCGGATCAAAGTAGAGCGTCAGGGTGTCGAGGGCCGGCAGGTTGGCCAGAAGCGCCTTGCAGCAGCGCGAGACCGAGTCGTAGTCCTGCGCCTCGAGCCAGTAGTGGAGCTGCTGCAACAGCTGCTGCGAGAAGGCGTGGTGTACGCCTGGGTCGCGACAGACCTTGTCGAGAAGTTCGGTCAGGTCGTCGGACGCCAGCTTGTTCTCCAGAGACGATGCGATGTCGAGCCCTTCGAGCTGAGCATCCATGCGGAGAGACTGGCTGAGCGACTGCACCTCTTCCGCCAGCTTGTGGCCTCCCGGGAATTCGTCCGTGATCGCCTCTGGCCGGGCAAGGGCGCTCTCGATCAACGATCGGAGCAGCCAGGCCCGCACCGGCTGATGCGTCGGGGTCTCGGCCCCCACGACCGAATCAAGCATGTTGTCCATCCTCGCGTCGCCGTCGTGGGTGGCTGCCGCCGCAGCTGTCCCGGTCGATTCGCAGCCCTCCAGCTTGTCCGAGGACGTGATGAGCAGCGCCTTGAGCGCCGACTCCACCCGGGCGTGGGGCGGCATGCACCTCTCGCCCTTCAGCGCGATTGCGCAGCCCGAATCGAGCCACTGCTCGATCTGCGCAAGCACTTCGGGCATCAGGCCGCACAAGGCGTTGCGCCACAGGGTCGAGTACGTCTCGGCCGAGCCTTTGAGAGCCGAGGGGGTCTCGACGACGATGGAGCATGCTTCCGCGGCTGCCGAGAGTAGCTCGAAGTAGAAGGCCGTGAGTGACTGGTCGAGCGTCACCGAGGGTGCCGCCTGCTCGCGTCGGGCCAAAAGCAACATCTGGACCGCTTCCATTTTGCAAGGCCAGGACATATTGGAGTCGACCAGGCGGCGAAGCAGCAGAGCGACCTCCGGCTGAGTGGAGGGGTGTTGCTGCGCCTGCTCGCCTGCCTGCGAGAGCGCCGCGACATCGATGAAGTGATCCCAGGCAGGCTGCTTGCCGGAGACGAGAGCTCCACCCTCGCCCAGCATCTTTGCCAGCGTGCCGTCCAGAGCGCCTCCGCCTGAGCTTGAATCAAAGAGGCGACTGAGCTTGTCGAGCTGCCCGCCGAGCTCTTTGAGCAAGGAGATCTCCGCTTCCCACGTCGGGTTGAGCGTGGATAGAGTGGTCTCGATGAGCTCGACGATCTGCCTGACCGACGCACCCGCGGCAGCAGCCTGAGAAGAGAACGTCGAAGATGGCTCTCCGGCCGTCTGCACGGAGCAGAGGCCTTCCTGCAGGCCAGAGAGGAGGGGCAGTGCCGAGTGCGTCAATAGGGCCATGCCAATCCGGGGCGCCAGAAGGTTGTGCGGCGAGGCGACCTTGGCCGTCGACGCCAGCTGCACGAGCAGCATGTTGATGCTGAGGTAGCCCAGCGCGGCCTGGTGCTCGTCGATGGGGGCCGACTGCGATGCCGCTGGCTCCGCGTCCGGCCTGTCCTCGGCGGCGGCCTGCTGCTGCGGCTGTCGAAACGTGGCCGCGATCTTCTGGCGAAAGGCGACAGAGTCTGGTCTGAAAGCACCAGGCGTGCTGAACAGCATCATGAAGCCCTGGCCGACGATCTCGGACACGCACTCGAGCACGGATAAGAGCGCCTCGATGCGTTGACCGGCCCGGACCTGCGACCAGCTGTGAGCCAGCAGCGTCAAGGTGACGTCGAGAGCATTGCATATTGGGCCTTCGTCCGACGAGGTCCCTGACTGCGCCGTTGCCCCGTAGATGGCCTGTCGAAGGTAGTCGGACAGTAGCGGATCCACGACGCTGGACGACAGCAGCCTCGATACGAGGACGGCCGTCAGCGGGTCGGGGTCATCGGCCGGCGGGGATGATCTGCGTTTCGCTTGGTGTGCAAAGGCCAGGAACTAGCTCGATGCAGCAAGAGATGAATGGACGGCAGCGCACGTCGTCTAGGGGGGTCAGCCCTGCAACGAGGCAGCATGGCGCCCAGGTGAGGCCAAGGGGCCGACGTACCTTGCTCGGCTCTATCCTGCGCGCGAGGCATTGCGAAAGAAGGGATGCGACCTTGCTCGCGTAGTCGGTGTCTGCCGCCATGGTTTACGTGCCCTCTTCTCTGGGATCCGATGATCCGTGCTGCCGGGCGTCGCGGTCGAGGCGTCAAGCGGTCAGGAGCGATGGTGGTGTCGCGGCGGAGGGAATGTCGTGTTGGTCTGGTCGGTCCGCCGCATGGCTGCCTCGGGAGTCGGCCTGGACAGGCGACAAACTCCACAAGAGCCAAGTCTGGCTGCCGGCCGGGTCGCCCTCTTCGACCTTCCCATGCTCAACCAGGTACAGTAGCCGCCAACCTGCCTGGCAGGCCAGGTACAGTACAGTAGCTGACCGGGGCTGGCCAAGATTCAGCCTTTTCTTCACAGCCACCTTCCCAGGGACGACCACGCCGTTTCTACCGGTGAATTCCTTCAGTCAGGACCCAGCCTGCGCCACGCCATGCTCATCCGAGCCAGAGACGCCAACGACTCGAAGGTCGCCTCGGCGATGTACATCTGCGCACGTTGCCTTGGTCCCGTCGAGGCTGAACAGGCGATTCGCATTTCTATAGATTGAACAAGACGGGCGATCTCGGATCAAGGACCTCGACCGCCGCAACGAGGCTTGAAAGCACGAAAGCGCGTCCTCTCTTTGTTTGCATATCGCTCGGCCCGGCGACGAGAGCCCCCTCGGCCCGCTTCTTCCATCGAGGTGGCTTCGCTCGGGTAGCGGTAAAACGTAAGTAGCAAGCCTGGGAGCTGCTGCGGGATACCTAGGAAGCCCGGCGGAGCTGGCGGCCTACTCGCCGGCAAGACGCCGCGACCGCTTCCTGACCCATATCGGCAGGAAACCTCCGGTCCCCTCGATGGCGGTGAGTGTTGTGTAGGCACCTACTGTAGGTATCCAGGGGCTGATCCGATTTCGTGCGGTGAGCGGCGCCTCACGGGCTGAAGCTCAAGCAAGCAGGCTAGGCGGGCTAAGTAGTTGGCGTTGGCCGACGCGGGGCAACCTCGAATGCTGCCTCCCTCGTCCCGAACCACCGGTCCCGCGCCTACCAGACGGTCCGATGGCGCCGTGCGGACTGGCACGCTGCGGCGGATCGGTAGAAAGCTCCGCGTTTCCCGCCGCTTCGGAAGGCTTGCCGAGCGAAGCCTACCGGTGGTGCGTCGAGCCCACCGTGGAACTTAGCTCCGGGCCTGTTCGCTGTTGAAAGCGTGTCGGGAACCGTCGCGGGGCGAAACCCCTTCAGTTGTGTGCCGAGCACGCCATGGTGGCGGTCCCTGCCAAGTTGACAGCATCTTCCGAGATTGCGCCAAGGGTGGCAAGCAGAGACACAAGCAGCAAGCTGAACAGTTGTCTTACCCATGACTAACTTACCCGAAAGGTCGACAGGTAGGCATCGACCAACGAAGACACGTTCCGTAACGCAACGTCGTGTGGACTTGCCTTCGCGGATGGCACCTACCGTACTTGCTGATGAGTTCGCGCGATGCCCGAAGGCCTTCATATCTATAGGCATGCTGACTATCAGAGCTGCTGGTCGACGACCCGTCGAGGGCCCCTTGCGCCTGTCCAAAGGCGCGATCGGCGATCGGGATCTGTGGCACTGAGCATCGACTCAGCCCCGCTTGCCGTTCCGGCCGGCGCCACAGTACGGTTGCGTGGTCAGATCATGGACAACAACTTGAGGCAGCATCGCATCGAGTCGGTACCTTCCCGCTCGGCCCGACCAATCGACCGGCACATCTGTGCGCCAAGAGGCAGGGGTTAGAGTGGCCAGCCTTGTTTCCGATGTAAGTACACACAGACGTACGTTGGCCGAGGCTGGCACTGGCAATCCTTCAGGGGCGCTCCCGAGAGGGCTTCTCGAAGGTCGGAGCTCGTGCACTGCTTGTCGCAAGTCATGCTCGGACCGTGCGCGCTGCGCAAGAGTGCGGATGGCTCACAGCGGAGGCGCCATTCAGCACTGCAGGAAGCCATCTCTCTCCTTTGCCCTGGCAATGCTGCGTCGCCCATGTCCCAACGCTGCCAGGTCGTTATGCCGCCGACGAGGACCCTAGCCTGGCCGAGCGGATCTTGGCGATTGATGCACCGCCATTGTGATGGAAGAAGGCCTGCCTGCTGGGCAGCGGTGCCTTCACCAGCGACGCAGGTCCGACCATGCGTTCCCGTCCGAACTGCGCAGGGTGAGTCAGGCAACGATCAGCGACCGCACTACGACGGCCTCGCAGCTAGACCCAACACGACAATATCGTTACAGTAGTAGCGGTGCACGACTTCCGACTGAGCCTGTCTCTCGCTCCAGGGCACGAAGCACACGGCTGTTTGACAATCCGGATAACGAGGAAGTACGGTGCCATGGAAGCGGTGGCGTATCGCTCGAGCGACAAAGGGCAAGCGAGATTGATTCGTCGGCGCCGCAGCCGGTTGATGCCGTCATACTGTCTTGGCCTGGTGCCGGCCCTAGCCTTAGGCGAGAAGAGAGAACGCGTTCTTGCGCAGTCTGACCCAGAGCACAGAGTGGCGAAGAGCTCCAGGCGATGGTCGACGACTGTACCGGGAGATACAGACCGTTTTCGCAGATGGAGACCACCGTCGAGGCCGGCTGCCGTGCGATCAAGGCCAAACAGAGCGGCTTCTAGACCTTTGGATCCTGCTTGCGACAAGGTGTGAGACCCTCGGAAGATCCGCACGTACTCTTTTGTCCTCGTCGAGGCCTGCCGCTGTGACTGCACCGGTGCCCATCTTCCTTTCGATGTCCCTTTGCCCTCGTCGGTGGAACTGTACTTTCGCCCAGGTGTAGGCACGGTGCTCATCCTTGCCTCGCCCTGCACCGCTGGCTGGCAATTGCACCTCACGCTACGTGCTTGATCGAAGTGCTCCTCGCTGTCGTGGGTGCCGGTAGCTGTCAAGCAAGGCAGAAGAGACGAAGGTTGGGCTTCAAACGAGGTTTTTTTGGCTGTCTGGCAGTGGCTGGCGCCTGGCCATGGTCAAGATGATCCCCCACCAAGGGCCCATGTGCGTCGAAAAATCGGACAGTTCAACGCGTCCCCCCCTTGGCCCCCCTCGGCCGCTTCGCCGTCCGCGACATGCGCCAGACGGTCGCCGTCGGCGTCATCAAGTCGGTCGACAAGACTGCCAAGGGTGGCAAGACCACCAAGGCCGCAGAGAAGGCGGCTAAGAAGAAGTAAACGGTGCAGCCTTCGCGGCCACCAGGCGCTTCCTTGCCTGCCCATCGCTGCGGCGGCCGGCAGTCCGGCAGGGCCCGGTAGGCTCCAGGCCAGGCCAGCCGGCGGACGACGGCACATCGAGCCTCGATGCTGGACGGTAGGCACACCACAGCCTAGCCTGCCCATGCCCGGCCACGGAAGGGCTCTGCCTGGTGGTCCAAGCCCTTCTTTCCGCCTGCCATCCGGCCTGTTTGCGCAGTCGGCGCCGTCGCTTGCGGCTGCGGCCTTCGCCAAAGTAGGGATCGAACATAACCATCGAGGGGAGGCCGGTGGTTTCGCTCGCTTCGGCAACGGCGGCGTCTTGCGGCGCCTGGAAGGGTTCTCGAGAGTAGAGAGAGAGGGGACAAGCCGGCAAGCCCAGCCTCTGGGGCGAACCGTAGGCCGGGCAACAAGCCAAGCAGCTGTACAACGGCCGCTCTGCCGCTGCCCTAGCCTCTCTGCTTCTCTTCCTTCGTTCCGCTGCCTGGAACCCGCACCGGCCGCGGCGGGTTTCCATAGCAGCCGCCGTTCCGTCCTCAGTCACCACCACTCTAGGTGCACCCGACGCGTACGGTGGTGCTGCTGGAGCCCATCTGGACGGCACCTCACCAGCGGGTGCCGAGGTCTGGGCCTCATGCCCGTCGAGGGCGCAATTTACATAGCAGCTCGTCGCCTCGCCACCGAGAGAGTCGCCTCACCACCTGCCTACTACCAGTACTCCGAAGGCCTCGCAGCGCTCGGCAGGGGCCCCTCACGGCGTCCGCAACCGCACACCTCTCTGGCAGAGAGGCCCGCCAAGCATACGAAGAGGATCTCAGCATCCGCACCTGCCTGCTTCCATGCCGTGCTCGCCGCCTTCGTGCCGCATTCTTTCCGTTTGGGAGTTGGCCCCCCTTGTCGGAGGCTGCACGGCGTGAACTGGTTGACAAACGGCGGCTGCTCGCTGTCCACCTGCCTGTGTATGTGCACGCTGCTGTGAATCGCAGCCTAGTTAGCAGCAGAACGGACGCTGGTCCTCTTGCTCCTTGACGGCCAGCCGAGCTTCGCTCTGCATCGCACCGACGCTAAGTAGGGAAGTCGCGGTCGGCGGATCGAGTGTGGCGGGATGCGGCGCGGCGAGGCACAGACCTCGACGGCAACAAAGCAAGCAGCAAGCCGGCCTTCAACAAGGCCGTCGTGCTGGCCACTGGCGTGGGCTGGGAGAGGCGCAGTCAGAGCGATGCATCTCCCTCGCCTCTTGGCCTTCCAGCACGTCCGTACGGTCTGTCCGGCCGGAGGGGCGAGCAACTCTGAGGCTAACCGTCTTGCATCTTGGGCTCCGATCCGAGCCTGTTTGCTCCTCGAGAGCCGGCCAGCGGAGCGGACGGCGACCAGAGACGAGGGCTCAAGGCCGGGAGCCGCCCGACCCTGCCTCCTCGCTACAGTACGGGAGGGCCCGATGACTTTTACCGCCGCATCGCAAGCGGTTTGGCGGAACACTGCCTCTGAGCTGTCGGTATGTGGTCCGAAAGACGACCACCAGGGTGGCCTCCAAGAGCAGATGGCTCGTCCACAGTGGGCGACGCGAGGTCTTAGGGTCGAGGCAGGGTGGTGCGAGATCTGTTTAGAAGGAGGGTCGGAGGGTATGGTCGACCAGAGCACATGCAGTCCTTCTCCTTTTCCATACACCCAACACCATCACAGCCATCGTCGCCTATCGTCGCCTTCTCGTCGTGTCGAGCAAAAGATCAAACGTGACCAGCCCTGCCATCAGCAAGAGAAGCAGCAGCATCTCTTCGGAACGCAGCCTTCCCCGCCTCGCCAGCTCGCTCGCTCTCCTGCACAGCGCAGCCCAGCCCCCGTTTGGCTGCTTGGCCGGCCTGGCCTGGCCCTGCAGCTGCCTGCCTTTTTCGGTCAGCAGAGTGTGGCCCTGGGGCGTGTCGCGCGCAACCCTAGAAAGTGACCTGCCTGGCTCTTCTTGCCTGCGCTGACCTCGCCTGCCTGGGGCCTGGTGCCTTGCTTTCGCCTGCTGGCCGGCCTGCCGCCCTCCTGCGTCGCTTTCTTGCGCCCCGCTCGCACGCTTAGACTCTTCTGTGGCCTCAGCTGCCCGCCCGCCCTCTCGCCCGCCCGCGTGCTTCCTGCCTGGCACTTTTCCCACAGCCCGCCTCCCGCCCTCGCCGCGCTGCCTGCTGCCTCTGGTTTGGCCCTCGCCGCCGCCCTTGACCACCACCGCCCGGCCTTAGCCTCGAGGGCCCTCAGCTTGCTTGCCTTCCGTCGCCCCCCGCTTTTACTACACGACCCTCCACGCCATCTCTCGCTCTTCGTCCCAACCAACTCGTCCCTACGCCCACCTGGTCTTCATCAGCGCGACCCTCCGCACCATCGCATCCGCCACCCTCTCCCATCATTGGACCTCTTGGCGACCTCTCTCTCTACCTCGACCCCTCTGAATCGCCCAGAGTCCGTCCTTAAGCCCGCCACCTCCGATCCACGACCGTCACGAGAAGCCGTCGGGTCCTGGCCTGGCTGTGAGCGTTAAACTCTGCCTTCCAGCCACCAACACCAATACCATCGCCGACGCCACACTACCGCCACGATCCAAAACCTTTCCCCCGCCCTCTTCCCCGACCGGCGCTACGGTAGCCTTCTCCTCGAACGCCGCTGAGCCACCGTTCTTCCTCGGCCTTGCCGACCACACCTTCCGGACCGGGCCTTGCAGCTTCTGCCCGCTAACCGTGACTTGCGACGGGCAGCTCGCCGCGCATTCGACGCCTTCGTCTCCCTAGTAGTGTCCTGCGGCACTGCAGATTAATAGGCCTCGGACACCGGCGCTACTCGGTCTCGGCCTCGTCCTCGTCCTCTGCCAACCGTGCGACCACCGCCTTCCGACGCTCGCCCCCTTGCCACCTCTTCCGCCGGCTGGCATGGCCCACGGCTCCGCAGCGATGTCGCACCTCTGGAACGAGCCCGCCGAGAGGTCCCACTTCTCGCCCAACGCCCATGCCTACGCCCAGAGCGCTGGCCTACCCATGCAGTACCACGTCGGCAGTCCCAACCTCGGCAACCCCGGCCGTCCCAGCATCCAGCAGCAGTTTCAATTCGTCGTCAAGCCCCAGCAGCAGCAGCAGCAGCAGCAGCAGCAGCACCAACACCACCACGCCCACGACGTGTCTGATAACTACCAGTACCGTACTGCCGATGCCGGGCTCGAGGCGTCTGGCATCATCGGCTCGACGTCGACGCTTGACAAGTCTGGCTCCGCACTAGGTTCTCAGCACCCTGGCTGGGCCTTTGAACACGCTGCAAAGCTGTCCCACCCGCCCGCGGCATCCGGCACATCGACGCTAGATGCCTTTGGCAGTGGCAGCCATGTCGCTCCTTCCTCGCAGACCCCCGGTGCGCTGAGCGGGCCTCTCGGCGGCCTCCACCACGATGGCAACACTGCTCTGGTCGACGCCAGCTCCAACTCTTTCATCTCAGACTCGAGCGTCATGGCCAACACGACGTCCTACCCTCTGTCCCAGGCCATGGCCGGCGTCCCCATCCCCATCTCGCAGCCCGTGCCCTCGGCCGCGCTGGGAGCGCCCGTCTCAGTCGCCCCTCTGCCGTCGCGCCGGTCTGTTGACGTCGGCATGGACCGCGCGCCGCTCGGGTCTACCTCGTTCGGCAGCGGCGGCCCCGAGATGACGGCCTCGGAACCTACTTTTGCTGGCTCCTCGGCCTCTCCCACCAGCTCCAACGGCCGTCTCGGGTCCAGCCCGGAATCGCAAGGCCTCCCGAGGAATTCGATGTTTGGTGAGCCGGCACTGCAGGTCTCCGGCCCGGCACTGGCCAACGTCGACGCCTGGATGGCATCGAGCATCAACGCGGCCCCCAGCGTCACGTCAGTCTCCTCGACCGACATGGCGATGCCGCATGGTCGATCGTCGAGCGTCCACTACGCCTCGTCGTCGCAGGCTGCTGCTCCCGCTCTTACGAGGCAGCAGCAGCAGCTCAAGCACCAGCAGCAACAGCAGCAACAGCAACAGCAGACTTTCAAGACGAGCGTCGAGCGGCGAGAGAGGAACAAGGCCTCGCAGCGCGAATCGCGCAAGCGTAGGCAGGACCGCCTCGAGATGCTCGAAGCCGAGAACGCGGCGCTGCGCAAGGCGCTCGCCAGCGCCAAGAAGGACAAGGCCGGCAAGGGCCTCAGCTCCAAGTTCTCCGGCGCCATCTTCCTCGACGTTATCGAGCCGCACCTCGAGGACAGCTCGGCGGAGCAGGGCTTCAACGAGCTGATCGGGCACCGCTTCCCCGAGCAAAAGTCCGAGGCCCAAGAGGTATTCAACGAGCTCGACGTTTACGATCCGCGCGAGGCCGAGGGTGAGGCTGCGCAGACGTCGGACGTGGCGATCTCGCACAGCGCTTACGGCGAGGCCGCCGAGATCCCGGCCGAGACAGACAACCAGGTGGCCAAGTCCAGCGGGCCGGTTCGCAACGGCCGCGGCGCACAGCCGCAGAGGAAGAATGTGTGGGAGCTGGGCATCAGCCACCACGAGTCGTCCAAGTCGTTTACCTCGCTGGTCGTGGTGCCCGAGCTGGTGCTGTACAAGGTCTGCCGGCTCTACTTTAGCCTGGTGCTGCCCTTCACCACCTCGCTCAAGTCGGGCATCGTCAACCTTCGCGCCGCGCGCGCCGCGCCGTTCCTGCTGGGCGGGCCGGACGAGCTGCCGCGGTTCAAGGGCGATCCGCTGGATGAGGCCAAGCCCGAGCTGGTCCTGCCGCAGAACCTCATGCCGACTGAGAACCAGCTGCGCATCGGGTTCCACCCGGTCGAGATCGCCGTGATCCCGTTTCCCTCGATGCGCGACAAGCTGCTCACGATCATCGAGGCCTTTCACAAGCTCGAGGGCATCGAGGACGTGCCCGACGGCGCCCGGATCACGGAAGAGGAGCGTGCCTACTCGCCGGCCTCGACGCACCCCGAGGTCTACGCGGGCAAGATGCAGCAGCGCACCGCCATCATCTCGGACATGTCGACCTGGACGCCCGAGGACGAGCTGGACCCCAAGAACGCCGTCGTCATCCCGGACCGCAATCGCGTCTACAGGTACGGCTTCACCGAGAAGCCCAAGGGCTCGGTCAAGATGGGCCGGCCGGCGCAGCGCTTCCTCGACGACTTTTTCGTCGAGGTGGTGCGATCCTTGCGCATCTGGACGCCCGCCGGCGACGTCTTCGACCAGGAGGGCTTCGAGCTGCGCGAGAGCTTCTTTGAAAAGTACCCCTCGCTCGTCGACGAGAAGATCCTCCGCGCCACCAACCGATGGCGCCGCGCCCGCGGCGAGGCTCCGATCAGGCTCTAGCCGTCTCCGGACGCCGCACCGCGAGCTGGGTCGCATGCGTGGCTCGCATCCCGTCCGCAAGACCAGCGCACGCCCGAGCCGCCTTTCGCTCTGCCACGCATCCCTACAACCCTCCGACGCTCCGCCCCGCCTCGCCTCCTGCTAATCGCGCTTTCCCTGCCGCCTCGTCTAATACCTCCGCCAGCGCCTTTGTCTCTGTCGCTCCCTTCATGGCATCATTGGCGGCCACCCGGCATTCACATACACGATCCGCCCTGGCCCCTTTGCCGCATCGCATCTCATCCGCGCCCATGTTCGCTTCTTCTTCCTGTCCCCGGCTGTCCGCTGGCAGCGCACCCTGCCGGCCTCCGCCCCCCGCTCCCCGCTCGTTGCCTCCCTCCCCGTCACCGTCCCGGCTGCTCTCGGAGTCCACCTCTCCGTCTCCGGCTCCTTTTCCCTTCTCTTCCACGCCCTCTCTCTTTCTCCTCTGTCTGTACACTAGTCGGCTCGCTGTACAATGTCCCTTTGCTAGCATGCCCTTTGTGTGTTCGTTGACCTGGCCATAGAACCGTCGCGCACCCTTGCCGTTGCCTTTTGCGTGGTACGTGCACGACCGAGAGCAGATCGAGGGAGGGAGGAGGACCCTGCCGCCGGGTGCTGCTCGCACGCACGCACAGACGCCCATCGAAATTCACACGGGGCAGAGGGGCTCGAGGCAGGCGTGGGTGCGTGCGCCCCGTGCCCTCGGGACGGGTCGAGCTGGTCAGGAGAGACCAACACAGGCCGCCGTGCACACAGGCGACCAGGCTTGGAAGAAGCAAGCAGCAGGGAGCGACAAACAACGATCCCCCTGCCGTTCCATCACCTGCCCACGCCCCCTGCCATCCTCCTACCATCCCCCCTTCGCCGACCACCGGCCACCGCACACGCAACTAGCCACCGCCACCGCCCACGACGATGTCCTCGGCGCCCATCGACATCACCGCGCTCCGGGCGCGCTACGAGGCCGCGGGGCAGTCGCACCTCTTCACCTTCTGGGACAAGCTGACGGCCGACCAGCAGGCCAGCCTGGCTGCCCAGCTCGACGCGCTCGACGTGGAGCGAGTCAACCAGGTCTTCAAGACGGCCATCCAGGCAGACGACGAGGCGAGGTCCGGCAAGTCGGCCAGGATCGACCCGCCGCCGGCCTCGAGCGTCCAGTCGACCATCGAGGGCGAGGCCGACGCCGCCGAGGTCGAGCAGCTGCGCAAGCTCGGCCTGGACGCCATCGCACAGGGCAAGGTCGGCGTGCTCCTTATGGCCGGCGGACAGGGCACCCGCCTCGGCTCCAGCGCTCCCAAGGGATGCTACGACATCGGTCTGCCCAGCCACAAGAGCCTCTTCCAGCTCCAGGCGGAACGCATCCTCACCCTGCAGAGGCTCGCGGCTCGTGGCGGCCAAGACGTCGTCGTCGTCCCGTGGTACATCATGACCTCGGGCCCCACCCGACGCGACACCGAGGACTTTTTCAAGAAGCACGACTTCTTCGGCCTCAAGCAGGAGAATGTCGTCTTCTTTGAGCAGGGTGAGTTGCGAGCCCCGCCCAGCCGGGCCATGGTGAGGGCAAGCTGGCGTTGCATCGATCTGACGCGCTCCTCCTGCCTCTTTCGCCCCCGCCCCGTGCCTCCTCTCCGCCCAACCCGCCCGCAGGGACGCTGCCGTGCCTCTCGCTCGACGGCAAGATCCTGCTCGAGAGCCAGCACAAGGTGGCCACGGCGCCCGACGGCAACGGCGGCCTCTACCGCGCGCTCCGCACGCCCTACACGGCCGGCAAGCCGGACACGGTCATCTCGGACCTCGAGAGGCGCGGCATCCAGTACCTGCACGCGTACGGCGTCGACAACTGCCTCGTCAAGGTGGGCGACCCCGTCTTTATCGGCGTCAACCTGCAGCAGGGCGTCCAGGCGGGCGTCAAGGTGGTCAAGAAGACGGACCCGGCAGAGTCGGTCGGCGTCGTGGCGCTGCGCGACGGCAAGTTTGGCGTCGTCGAGTACTCGGAGCTGCCGCAGCAGCTGAGCGAGGCGCGCGACGCATCGGGCGAGCTCGCCTTCCGCGCCGCCAACATCGCCAACCACTTTTACACGACGTCGTTCCTCGCCGCCGAGGTGCCCAGCTTCGAGGCGCAGATGGCCTTCCACATCGCCCGCAAAAAGATCCCCACCGTCGACCTGGCCTCGGGCGAGCCCGTCAAGCCCTCGGCGCCCAACGGCATGAAGCTCGAGCTCTTTGTCTTTGACGTCTTCCCCTTCTGCGACCGCCTCGCCGTCCACGAGGTCGCCAGGAACGAGGAGTTCAGCCCGCTCAAAAACGCACCCGGCACCGGCAGCGACGACCCGGCCACCTCGAGGCGCGACCTCCTCGCCCAGCAGAAGCGCTGGCTCCAAAACGCCGGCGCCACCGTCGTCGACGGCGTCGACATCGAGCTCAGCGCTCGCCTCACCTACAACGGCGAGGGCCTCGAGAGGTTCAACGGCGTCACCCTCGACAAGAGCCAGAACATCGAGCCCTAGGCCGAACGCACCGGCCCAGCTGGATGTGTAGAATAGCCGCCGGCCGTCGCACTCGCCTTGACGGAAACGAATGGACATTTTGAATGGGTTGAGGGAGATCGCTTTGAAGGGCCTGAGGGCGTGAACTTTTTGATAGGGCTGACGCAACCTTGTTGCGAGCAAACCTCTCAGGCGCGGGGGATTTCAACTGATGATGCAGCGGCCCCAGCTCACTGCGGCCTGTGCGACTGCAGTGTTTCATGGACCGCATCAGTTGCAGCTGCAAGCATGAAGCCTGGTGGTGCATCACGAAGTCGGGAGAGCAAGGTGATTGCAGCAGTCCATGCTTGGCCCCTGTGATGCTCTGCAGCAGCGGTCTGAAGGGAGGCCACAGGGGTGCATGTACAGTGT